CAGAACTCAGTTTTATCTCCTAAGGAGTTCATTGAGTTCCTGATAAGACTGCACCCTATAAAACAATTGAACAAAACATCCATCATGACTTGCAGAGTGAGTGGGAGAGATTTGAGTAACTTTAAAAAATCTCTGCTGAATCTCCCACTGGCAAGCTCAGACACCAGCACACATCTACCTGCTCCTGGCATCTGTGCAGGATGGACTTTTTAAGATTGCTACTTGAAGGCTTTTTCACATTAATATGTAGATTCCAAACAGCAAATTCAGCTGGGAATTTAAAGTAGAAGCAAAAGTGTAGATTTAATGGGAAGAAGCTCCTTCCAGTTCATGGAAACGTACTCCTCCTCTTACAGGAGTAAATTCAGAGGGGAAAAAACCCTACAAACCCCAAACCACAAGCCAGTCTCTTGCCAGTCTGCACAATCTCTCAGTTCTACAGTGCTTGGTGTTGTGAGGCATCCTACACATCAACAACCTTAAGGCTCTCCTAACTCTATTGCTTCAGGTCAGGTAGAAGACCATTTAATCAGTCACCAGACACCTTTGTTTCAAGCAGAATTCAAAGATGCAAGAGGTTCTTCAAGAAAGGCAGACACTGCCTTAGCAGCACAGTGAAATGAGACGTTTTCAGAACACATCATTCCTTCCACAACAGCTCCTCAGCTAACTGAGAATCTCGGCAGCCCCCACCCATCCTGGAGCCAGACACGGCTTCTCACGACACCTTGTGGCAGCAGCACCAGTTGACAGGGCTTTGGTCTTCAAAAAAGTTACTTAAGATGTGAAACAATGATGTTGCAGAAAATCAAACACAAACCAAAAAGCACCAGTTTATAATCAATTAATCTGAAGAACAGCAACAATTTTCAAAACAGGAATATTGTCCATAAAGACACAAAGCAAGAAATAATAGAAGCATTATTTTAAAGTAATAAAGTCAGAAAACTGAAACAATCTAATGCAATTTGAAGTGCATGTGAGTGATAGATGTACAACTATAAAAATAATGCAATTATGAACTATTAACACTTAACATATTATTACATATGTAAACATATTATTACATATTATAACTATTTCTTACCTCTTTCTAACTGGAAAATTAGAATTTTCTTCGCACTTCCAGGAAATGCTTCAGGAAGAGACGGTTGAGAAGGGAAAAGCTTCATTGTCCAGAAACACAAGGACAACTGACTCAATTAGGCTAATTTATTCTGATATTTATGTTGCATGCAACTGGATAAACAGCAAAATAGTGAATCTTACTTCCCATTTGTTTTCAAATTGTTTTGAGAAAATGCCTTTTAAGTATACCTGAAAAAACAAAAATTGTGGTTCAATACTGTTCTACTGCAAACACGTCAGTCCCAGAAGAATTAATAGATGGCCCACCTTGAAAAGGAAATCAGAGATAGCTCTAATTAAATAAATCCGACAAAATTATTTAATATATAGTCTTATTTTCCCAAACATCCCCATCAAGGCACACAAGAAGGATGTTTTCTCAATCATTAACTGAGTAAACACACTGTTTTTTGAAGGAAGGTATTTCACTTTCTCTCTATGCAACTTGGAGCCTGAAATCCTGACTCAGCCCCCTATACAGAGGCAGTTTTTCCTGTCAGGGCAGAAACAACAGGCTTTGCCCCGACTTGGTTGGAGGTTAACAGAATAAAATACAAACAGATTTTATGTAGTCAGAGATGAGCACTGGAGGACAAAAAGAAAGCTTCTGGGAGGAATATTCAAGCAGAACTGTAACTCCTACTGAACAGTCATTAAAGAGTTTTCAAAAGCATTGGCTGTAGCATCCTCAAAGCAGTAAAACCCTACACCAGGAATAACTCATATTTGTTCTTCAGATGTGAAAAATAATAATCTGTATTTCGCTCATGTCATCTACACTGAGATTACTGCACCTACTTCTGTGTCTTCATTCCTCTCACCTGTTACTGTGTTGGGAAACACATTAGAGTTAGCAAAGACAGCCCTGCCAGCAGCAGGACTGAGGACACCAAGCACCTCATCCACCACAGGACCACACACAGCATCAGCACCCTATGAATCAGACAAAAAATTCCTAACATTAAAAAAAGGGCATTTTCCCAAAGGGATACTCAGAAGCAACACACAGTTTAAGTCTGCAAAGTTCCTGAAGGATTACTGTGCCTCCAGAGAAACAAACCAGACATTTTAAGCCCTGCCTAACCTCTTGTCAAGCTGCAGACATTTACTTTGTTTGCAATACAGAACTTTAATTTATAACCTGCTAGAGACCAAAAACCAGAATTTTGGCCCAAGAAGATTTGCTGGCACAGTTAATACAAACTACAATTTATGTGAAGTTGTGAAGTGTGGATTGGCCATCTGAAGCATGAATGGAGTCAAACTCTCCTCCAGTATCATGGGTGTGCTTTGGCAAGACCCAAAGAGGCTGCCGGGAGGAGAGAGAGAAGGTACCACAGACACTGCAAATGGCAATATCCAGTGGAAAAGGTAACCAAGTGTTGGCAAACAGAGAAACAGCCATGGAATACAAACCTGCAAATCCTGACATCCATTTGCCCCTGCTCTGAGAAATGCTCTACAGACTTCTCTTGGATGAAAATCAGGTTTTAGGTCATTTCTCCAACCAAATCAAGGCAAAGTCTCCACAGCACAACCGCAGCCCCCACCAGTGGCAGTGTCACCACGAGGGGCCGTGGACACCTCACCTGCGCTGCCTCTGGGGGCTCCATGCTGAACTTCATCCTCCTGCTGCAGGAAACATTCACTACATCTCACCTCACCTGCTACTCCGAGCTGCAAAAAAGAGTTAGGCTTCCTTTTTTTTTTTTTTAAGAACCCAAATAGATACTCAAGGCCTTCGGGTGGAAACTAGAATAACCCTGGAGAATGACTCACAAAGCAGATTTGGAGGCAGAGTGGCAGGAAGGTCATCCTCATAAATTGTGGAACCCTGATACAAGAACTCATCTCTCCTGCTTTGAGAAAGGAGTTTCTCAAGATCAGCAAACTCTCTTCTCATGTAAGCATCCTCTATTGGCAGGGGTGCAATATACTTTGTACCTTTGTACAGTTACACAGTCTTAAATACAAATACTATTATTTCATGGATTCAAAACCACAATGTTTTGAAGACCAAGACCCTTCTCTCCACCATCTCCACCAATTTTTTGATACACCACCTACAGTGGTAAGGCCCTAGACTTACCTGAAAGTGCCAAATACACTCAGTTAGGAGAGAGTGCAAAGAAAAATGCACATCCTAATTTGCCTTCATTTATATGCTCTGGCATAAGGTACAAGCTGTGCTTTAGAAACTCAAACACACAAGAGTTTATGAGCAGGTCAGTCCCTGTGGCCTGCATTCCTTTGACTAAGATTGTCTTTCCTCTAGAGATGAAACCATGTATAAACCATGCCAATTTTAGTAGTTTTCATAATTTTTTTCTTCACAAGAAGCCTAATCTGACAAGATGTGGAATATGAGGTGCTGGATATTAGCTTAAATAGTTCCAGTATTTTTTTTTTATTCTCTCTGTAGAAAGGACTGTTGACACCAACCTGAGCAGGAACTTGTCTGTGGCACAGGGCAATGTAGTAACACACAGACCGCCTTGGAATGAGCCTGCCCTAGACACTGCTAATGGGATTATTGTGTCAATCATTGAAAACAAATGTCTCTAATGCTTTTACACTCCACTGATTTTACCCTGTAATTCCCAGACTCAAATGTTATAAATATAATCTTATTTGCAGCCATTGCTGCCTAAGAGAGGTATGTAAATCACCCCATGAGTCTGCACCAGTGTGAGGGAGAGACTGAAGCTGTCACTGCTCTAATTTTTAACAGCCTCCCTTCCATCAAGGCATATCTAAGTTTCCACTCCTATTCTTAGCTGCTGGGTTTTTTAATGGATACAATTCCATAAAAGTAGCTAATTATGATGAACAAGTACTTAGAAACGCTAACACAGAGCTCAAACTTCCATGAAAGCATTTGTAATTGTGATGAAGTAGCTTGTCAAGAAGCATGGGAGATGCTGTCCTTCCAAGACAACCTAATCACAATCCACCAGCGTGCCAGAAAGCTGAACAAGTCCCCAGAGAACTTTTGAAGACTTGATTCGGTTCCTTTCATTAAGCACTATGTTCAGCAGACCCAGATGCAATTTCAATTAGAGAAGGTAACAGTCAAACCAGATTCAATTTCCTCTGTACTGAGCTTTTGAGACTCTAAGAGTTCACATTACATACCATGTGGTTTTAAATCCCATTGTGATTGGCATCTCTCAAAACAGAAAATCTTACTTCAAAACTTAAAAAATACTCTTTCCAGACCCATTGCACATAAACAGCAAAGAACAGTGATTGTTGTGACAGACAATGTTATTACCATCTCCATCCAATTTGAGAATGGCTCTTTGAGAAGTACTGGCAGTACTTACAATAAAAAACCATTTTAGACTTCATCTTTATAAGGAAGATCACCTTGAAAATTACTTCTTACACAGCAAAGACTTTCACATTTACTTCACTATCAAGAAACAATTTCTGTCCTGTAATCCAAAGAAATTCAAACCAGAATGAAGAGCATTAACCAAACACCTTACAGAATCCAGGTAAGAACAGAACAAGCCTAAAAATCCAGCCAAAAGGAAAGAATATTCATTCTTTCCATCTTAAAAGAGACCAAAACAAAGGACCAAGAGTCTGAACACAGGTACTTTAGTTCACTGATTCTGTTTAAAAAAAAAAAGTAACAAACTGTTTTAATGTTGCAGCTTTATTTAAAAGAAAGTGACTTTAGAATTTTTGGTAACATATTTTTTTAATACGGAATTGATACAATGAAAAATAAACTTCAGCAGTGTTCTAGAGCAGATCACAGGCTGTAAACTCATAGTCAAATGTACTATATTGGAAAAGGTAATTTTGTTCAAAGCTTATTTGCAGACCAGCACCAAGTGATCCCAAAAGTTTTACTCAACTCACACTTCCTAAGTAAGGAGTTGCTCAATCTCACTTGTCTTCCAATTTACAGTAACAGTTGTGATTAACTGTATGCAAGAAACACATCAAAATTCCCTACAATACCTTCAGTGAGTAAAGTTCAACATTTGCACACCTTTGAAAGTTTATAAGGAGTCATGGACAAGAAGGTATTTGCACAAAACTTTAGTAATTGCCATTTACATGGAACTCAGAAGTCCATTAAGAAATTTCAAAGCTCTGTAACAGTTCTTTTTAAACTATTTCATTTCAGCAGGTCAATTTCCTTGATCTTGGGATCACATTTTTTAAACCTACATCTGCAGTACATCAAAATTCCAACATATGAACAAGCAGTATGAATAGGAGCCAGCAGGAAAAGAGAAAAACCAAAACATAACATGCTACACAATTCTGAAATCCTTTTACCATTCTTAGCACATGCTCAGTAGAAAGCAAAACTGCTCCCAAAACTCTTTTATTTCAATTTTTAAGTTGTCTGAAATCAAGTTTCTCAAGCAGAAAACCTGTATTGGGAAGAAACTTTCTCATTATAAACCCAGCTCCTCAAACATCCTATTTTGGGGGTAACTTGGCTTCATGCAACCCTTACAGGCACAGAGAAGATACCGCCCTCAAATATTAAAGCTCTGGAGATCTAATACTCAAACTGTGAAACAATAGTACTGCAATTCTTGTATTTGCTCTTCTCCGTCATGCAATCACAACTGTAATTTGTAGAAGACAGCAGAGGTCTGTTTCCTGTCTCTGCTTCTCACTTCTGGATTCCTGAACTCAATCTAATTTGTTTTATTATGGCTGCTCATGTAAACCTTCTAGGAACAGCATCAATGGAAAAGGATGCTAATCCAGTAATGCCAGAAAATCTGCAACTTAAAAGTCTTCTCTAGAAATTGAAAAAATTCCTAATAAATTCCACTTCTTTTTCAGGCTCTTTGCCTTTTGCTTTCCTCTGTGAAACACCCACCAATCATCCTTTATCACTGCTCTCCACTCTGAGATCCCAATGTAAACAGAACCCAGTAGAATAATCAAGTTTTGCCAGAGAACTAAAAAAGCACCATAACATCTTTGCTCCTTTCAGTAAGCAGCATTTGAGACCAAAGCCTCAGCATTCTAATGCTTAAAGCCTTGCTCCCAGGTCCTCTGCAATGCTTTGGATCCTGGTATTAAAACAAAGAGGTATTGAACATAGGATGTGCCCACAGGAACGTGGACAGGAGTTTCTGTGAACTGTGTGTAACAGACCTGCTTTGTGCCTGGGGACATTTACTATGCAGATTTGGTTCTCTGGTGAGGCTGAGGAGTCACTGGCACTGAACAGTTTTGCCATAGCCACCTCTTCCAGCATCATAGTCTTGCCGATACTCATCTCGGACCTAACGGAGGGGGGAGAAAGGGAAGCCCAGAAAAGACAAGGAAAAACAATTTCTCAGAAACTGTTGCAGCATTAGAATACAGTCACACTGACATCACAACATGTAATTGGCTACATGGAGCTGCCTGACTAAACAGATGGTAAAGAGCATCATGCAGAAGACCAGAATAGCATAAACCAACTTCCTCTTTCATCATGTCTGGGGACTCTCTAATCACCACAGCCCAAGCAAGGATGGTCAGCCTTTGGCATTGGCAGTACAAGCCACTGCCATCTGCTCCCCTTGGGGCAAGCCAGCTGCTGTCCTGTGTGTTCCTAACAGGCTCTTACATTTCCTGGGCTTACTTAAAAGCATTATGTCTCTAGGCATCCAAGAGCTGTTTCTGCAAGTACTTCTAGTGAAATTTAGGAAGGAGTTATTTCTTCCTAGTGGATTATACTGCCATTGATCAGATATCTTCCAGTGTTATCTCAAACAATGACTCCTAAGCTGCTATTTCTGAATTTTTTCTGTGTTCATTCAAAATCAAGAAGTTTGGCAAAGTAACCATTCCTTTAAGAGCCCAGGCTGTACAGCAACCTACCTGCCCCCCTGATCGTCCACGGCCATACTGCCTGCCCTCCTTAAACCCTGCATCCCAGTCTGTCCTGATGATCCTGTCATCCAGTCTGGTCCCGTTGATGTAGCGCATCGCGTTTTCAGCATCTCCTCTGGCATAATATCTTGGGAATGTGTTAATGAAAGAAACAGACTTCTATTTTCACCACGTGGGAAAATGAACACTATCAAATAGGTCACAAAACCAAGTCTTTGCTTGAACCACTTTTTTGAAGCTACACCATCTAAGAAAACTGTAGTGAAAGGGTAAAACATGCAGCAAGTCAAGCATTAAAAAGTTTGTCAATCATGCCGACATTTAACAGAACAAAGCTCTATTGCTAAAGAGTGGGCAGCCCCAGACATGCTCTGTTCATGCTGCAAACTTTCACCAGTCTGGTGAGTTCACTGCAAGCAGTAGCAAAATGATCCTCAGAAACGTGCACACAATGAAGTCATACAACAGGGATGAAAGATGCCAACGGAAACTTTACACATGTGTTTGTATGAAAAGAAAGACCTTTTTACCTCGGCACTGAGAATATGAATTTCCTACAGAGGTCAACTACCCAAGAGGTATCTGGGTTAAAGCATCAAAGTGAAAGCAATCTGCTAACCCCACTCGACACGCAGTGTATGCTCGAATACAGAATCACAGTTAGAAAAGACCTGTAAGACCATCATGTCCAAGAGTGAGCCCAGCATTCCTCTCTCTCACCAGGGTCTCCCACAGCCGCTTTAGCAAATTATTAATTTTATCCTCGGAGAACTCCCCCGTAACTCAGAGCCTGCAGTGCAGAGCAGTTCACCCACACCCTGACGGCTCCCGCCGCGCTGCACAAGGATACTCCACGAAGCAGAAGCCGCAGGCGGTTTTCTTCACTTTGTCCAGCCCCATGATGACCTTCTTAATGTCGCCGCTTTTGCCGAAGAGCTCGTGGATCTGCTCCTCCGTGGTGTAGAAGGAGAGGTTCCCCACGTACAGTGTGCAGCTCTTCCTCAGCAGCCGCTCCTGGTCGTACCGCGTCCCCTGGGCCGCAAGGACACAGCGTTACCTCCCGGCCCGGCCGGACGGGACCGCGCGGCGCCCGCCCCCGGCCGCGGCTCACCCGGAAATGCTGGTCCCGGTACTGGCTGAGTTCGGCGTAGGAGTCGCTGCGTAGGATACTCAGGGTGCCGCCGGAGCTCATGGCGGTGCCGGCCGAGGCCAGGCCAGCCCAACCCCGCACGGCCCGGCCCGGCCCGGCCCAGCCGAACCCAGCACAGCACAGCACGGACCGACACCGCCCGGCCCGGCCGCCCCCCCACCTCCTTCGCGCGCCCCGTGCACGCGCCGCGCGGCCGCAGGGCGCGCAGCCAATGGCGAGGCGGTGCGCGGCTCTCGCGAGCGCGGCGGGGCGGGGCGTGCCCCACCTCTCGCGAGAGCCGCGGCGCGCCCAGCGGGCGGGAGCGCTCGGTCGCGGGATCTCGCGAGAGCGGCGGCCATGGCGCTGCTGCGGGCGCTGCTGCTGCTGCTCTCCAGCCCGCGGTTCGTGGAGCGGCTCTCGGAGTCGCGGCCCATCCGCGCCGCCGCCCGGGTCACCGCCAGCGCCCTCACCCGCGGCCAGCGCGACCTGGCCCCGCGCCTGCTTCGCCTGCGCGACGCCTTCCTCGCCGAGCTCAAGGACGGCGCCCGCGCGCGGGGGTGGCCGTGGCCGCGCGGGCCGGGCCGCCGCGGCCGCCCCGGGTCAGCGCCGTGATCGCCGCTGGGAGCGGGAGGCAGCTGCGGACAGCGCCGGCAGGAGACGGGAACCGCCGCCGCTTCCCTGCGCCGAGCGCACGGAGCGCGCTGCAACCGGCGGGTGAAGGGCCCCGGGAGCAGGTGACAGCGGGGCCCCGCGGCCGCTGCGGAGCCCGGCGGTGGCCGGCATGCGGATGGCGAGCTGCGGACTGGACGGTGCGTTCCTCATCGCGCGGCCTGGAGCGACTCCTCGGGAGAGCATGAACACGGGAAGCTGCTCCGCATCGGTTTCATGGATTTCCGTTTCAAAGACAGGATACGCGTCCCACGGTTCTCAGGAACAAGCGGACTCACTTTCTAATCACCCACAATGCTGTGAAGATTGTCACTTTAAGCGCTTGATGAGAAACTTGAAATAAAATAACAATTCTCACAGGAGTACCTGTAACAATGTCTGTGTATACAGGAGTAATACTCTATATTTGATACAGTTTTGTTACAAAAGGGTTTTCAGTGATAATGACGGACAGGACAACAGACATCTTACAGGAAAGTAAAAGATTCAGTAGCTATCCTAAAAGCACACCTCAGGTCTATTGTAGCAGGAAGGGTTTACAGGGGGAAAAAAGACCAATAGAGGCACCCTGCATATAAATGGCAATACAGCTATATATGGAAAATGATACATCCATCACGTACAATGCCTAGGGCAGGTTTGCTTAAGATACTGTATCTGATGACGTGTCTGACACTACAGCAGTTAACCTTCCTTCAGAGCATGTCTCACTGTTTGATTCAGCTGAGTAGAGGCTCAGTTAACTGGGGAGGGCCATTTCCACTCCTTGTATTATCCCAGGTGAGAAGAACCTTGTACTTTGTCCAAGATACACTTTTCTGCATTGCTAGTAAAGTTAAACCTCCAGCACGGATGGAGAACCTGCATCTACAGCATAAATTCAAAGGTCTGGCTGGCAAGACAAAAACAATATATTGTTAATCTGAGCTGTATTTGCAGTCCAGGTTCTGTTTCTGGCTCTCTGCAGGTTACCTGTGCAGTGGTAGTGGAGTCATCATCTCGTGGGAATGGTGCTCCGTTGCATCCCCCGAGATATACCCCACTCAGACTGCCAGAATTCATAAGTTTTATGAAAATAATGTTCAAGATCTAAGTTGTTTAAGAAAGCTGAAAATGGGAAGCAGGACATGGAGTAACAGTTGTGGCACACGGTTGTGTCATCCCAGTGTAAGAGAGCAAAAAGAAGCTTAACTTGGAAAATACATTTGCTGACACAATGTTTTCACAACTACTTACACTGCTTTGTGAGTCACCAGTACAAAGACAGGCACCCTGTCTCCCCTGCCTCCCCCCAGACACACCCCTTTAATTTACAGGCAGGCCAGCAGTGAAGAGTGAAGGATGTGGGATGAACACACAGGCAACACAAGACAAAATGCTTTACAAGAGAGTGAGAGCTATATTCCCTAAACATCTAGGTCATACCTATAGCTTGGAAAATACAGGCAAATCATTCATGCATTCATTTTTCCTAGATTCTCCTGAGAGCCTGGCATCAGCCTGTATTATTCTTGTCACTGTTGAAAGCCTGGCTTTTAAGACCTTATGTAAGGTTGTGTGGGTGAAGAACTGCCAAAAGCATTACCACCTTTGGGAGTGGAAATAATTCAAGTGTCAGATTTGTTTCAGAGAGAGAGGCTTGATCTACAATGCATGTGCCAAGTCAGGATGTTTTGGAAGTTCATGTAGGCAAAACCAAATATTGTAGGTCATGCTGTGCTATTGAGCACATACATCATTGTCAGCCCAGTTGTTGGTGTCCAGTTGAAAAAGAGGCAGCTCTCCAGTGGAGAGCCAGGATAGGAGCTGTCCTTCCCACTGAGCTGATTTAGTGCACGGGGAGGGGGCGCAGGGGATGCGGCTCCTCCCTCGAGGCTGCGCTCCCTCCACGGCGGCAGAACCGGGGATCTCTGACCTGTGCTGAGCCCGTTCAGAGACGCATCTGGTGAATCAAATCCCTCCCAGTTACCGCCTTCTGTCTGCGCAGCTCCCCGATCCACTCCCGCAGGAGCTGCCGCGCGCTCTGCCGGGGGGACAGTGGTGACAGAGAAGCGACAGCCGCGAGAGGAGCGGCGGGAGCGCGCCAGGGAAGGAGAGCCCGAGCTGCAGCCGCGGAACGCTGGATGCCATGGCGGGGCTGCCCTCCCGAGCTGCCCCGGGCGGTTCACGAGGACGGAACTGTGGCAAGGAAGGCTAAACAGGCAAAGCTTGGATTTTAGGATTTAGCACAAGCACTTAGCCTGAAGCATCCTCCTGTTCTAAATCAGATTCTGCCAGATCAGTGCTGGGGATTTTTCAAGACGGACCCACCCAAGGCAGTGGTGACTGCAGACTGGTCTAATGAATTTTTAAGAACATAAAAGAAAAGATTACTGAGTCAGACCAGCTTTTATCTAAGCCTGTAACCTCTCTCCAGCAGCTGAATTAATGCCTATTATCAGTAAACACCCCACAGTCTCCAAACCCTGTCAGATTATTAGAGCTTTCAAAAATAAATCTCGCAGGGAAACAGCTAAGCTTCAATCACAGTTTTGGTGGGCTCTGATTTCATCCTCTCTCATCAGGAGAAGTACAAAAGTTCACATGAAATACCACAGGGCTGAGTAAGTCAAATTTTAAGCAGGTTCTATCCAGAACTGGCTACGCTAAGAGTGTGAGGAATGGGAATAAAGAGATGTGGGAGAGCTCCCAGTGCCTTTGCTGATGCTGAAAGGGGGGTGTATAAAAAAGAAAGGTCTCACACCACCATCAAACAGCACCCAAATGAAGTAAAAGACTAAAACTTTGTTCTCCTAAAATCTAAAGGCTCTGATGATCTCTGTTTAGCTCAAGGATGTAAAGTCCTAACTGACTCCTCCAATTGCCACTGGATAGGACAGGTATTTGTGGTGGGTCTTCCATTGACAAGTGAGGAAATATCAAAGTCTCGTTCTTGAATGAGACACCACATTTTGTAATTGTGGCTCTGACAGTCCCAGGGATTATAATAAAGATGTGACAGTTGCTGCAGGTAAAATTGCTTGCTCGCTGCTCTACTGTCTGGCAGAGGGTTTCTTCTCCAGCCCCAGCCATGTCAATGACTTCCACATGCACATCTGTCTTCTTGATATTGAGCAGAGACCTCGGAGGCATGTAGGTGTGTGCAAAGAGCAGAGTGTAGTGCTGCGGGTGGCTTGAGGATGCTGGAGAATGGATGAGCTGCTCCAAGTGAAACAAACAGGGAATGAGCCCTCCCTGGTGTAAGCACCCAAACAGAAGTGCCCCCAGAAGGTTGAACAGAACAATGAGGAGCTTCCATCTCACAGCTCTGCTGGGTGACGCGCTGAACAGGACCAAGGGCAGGATGAGAGGGATGAGAAACCGGGGCTCCTGGTGACTGAACAGGGAGAGAAATGCCAAAGGAACAAAATAAAACAGCAGCAAAATTGGACTGCCCTCAGAATGCACCAAGAGCCCAGGCAGCCCACGGCAACACCATCTGACCAGCATTAACTGATGGACATATTTCTTTAGCATTTTAAAGCCTGCGCCGATGGCCAGAATGTGTAAGATACCAAACAGCATCACTCCATTGACTGTAAAATGTGTAACTCGTAGGTGACTTCCATGCAGTGCAAGATTATGAGGATTAAGATTATAGCTGAGAAAATTGAAGGGGGTTACTACCATTTTGTCGTGTAATTGAACAATTACATCAATTAGGCTGCTCTTGTTAGTGCTGTAGAGGTTGTCTAAGCTCACGGAGGTAAAATAGAAGGTGTCAGCAGTTATGAAAACAAAAGCGGTAAAACATGCACATAGGATAAACTTCAAAAAGTCATTTATAAGAGTTTTAATGTTCTTTTGAGAGTCAACAATTAAACTGGCCCAGTATAGCAGAGGCATTAGAGCAAATGCCAGAAAGGTTGGCCTGTTGAAAAACCCAGCAGTTGTTATGACACCTAAGAGAGAGCTGCTTGTAGGCTCTGCTGAGCGGCCACTGGACTTCCTTGAAGAAACCAGCACCATGAGAAGAGCAAAGAGAAGTCCTTCGAGTGTGTTGGTAAACGTCCTTGTATAAAACACCAGCGTGACATAGGATCCAGCAAGAAGCACCAGCGCTTTCCACGGATCTGCTCCCCAGAGAGGGGCCAAGCGATAAATGCTATAGTCGAGAATGAAAGAAAAGATTGTAAAGAGCAGGCGAGGAGATACAAGCAGAGTGTAGCTGTTGATGCAACTTGAACATATGTCCAACTGCTGCAAAGACTTGATCACCCAGTATGTAACTCCTGATGTCATTAATGGGAAAACAACTGTTCTGCAAGGAGAGTTGGAAAGGAACTCCCATGGATAATAGACCTGTAGATTTAAAATATCTCCTACAAAGGAAGAGAAAAATACATATAGATAATAAAAAATAAATATAGATAATATATTTTATTCAGTAATTCAGCATTAGGGATACTACTTGGTATAAGAGGTATCACAATACAGAGCAGCTCCCAAACTTTTGAAACTGGTGTCAACCTTGACATTTTTCGGAGCGTACCATTCATTTTTACAAAACATCACAGTCCCAGCAATGTGGTTCGAGGAGCCACTCGCTGTGGGCAGCACAGAGCAGGAACCCACCCACGGGGCCAGCGCTGCGGATCCTCTCCTGCCCGGCTTGCGGGACACGCTGCGTGACAGAGCGGGATCCCTCGGCAACACCCGCCTGGCCGGCGATGCTCGTGGCCGCGCCGCTTCACGTCCCCGCGAGCCCGCAAAGGGTCACCCGGTCCCGGGCGCATCCCTTACCTGCCATGACCTCAGGCGCCTGGAAGAACTCATCTGGGTGCAGGTACCCGCTCTGCGGCAGGAGGCACCAGCCCGCCCGCAGCGCCGCCAGCAGCGCCCACAGCGCCCGCGCCACCATGGCGGCCCCGGCCCCTCACGCCGCACCGCCAGGGGGCGCGCGGCGCACGGGCGAGGCGCCGCAGCGGGAGCCCGGCGCGCATGCGCAGCGCCCCCCGCCCGCTGCAATTGCCGGACTCCCGGGATCAATGAGGCTGGAAAAGGCCCCGGGATCAATGAGGGGAAGGGGCCCCGGGAGCACCGAGCCCGGGCCACGGCCCAGCCCACCGTGAGAGCCGCACAGACCGCCGCACAGAGCGGCACGGCCGGTCCTCCCTCCAATACCTCCAGGGACAGTCACTCCACCACCTCCCGGGCAATCCATTCCAGTGTCTAATCACCCTTTCTGTGAATTCCTCCTGCTGTCCATCCTGACAGTTTAACAGTATGAGTTCTATGAGTGTGCTCTCTCGTCCTGTCACGGCCTGGGAGAACAGCCCGAGCCCCGCCAGGCTGCACCCTCCTGTGAGGGAGCTGTAGATGGGATAAGGTCACCCTGGAGCCTCCTCCAGGCTAAACACCCGCAGCCCCCTCAGCTCCTTACAGGACTTGTGCTCCAGACCCTTCTCGGGTACATCCCAACACTTCAATGTCCTTCCTGAACCGAGGGGCCCAGAATGGCACACAGCACTCAAGGTGTGGCCTCACCAGTGCCAAGTGCAGGGCACAATCACTGCCCTGATCCTGCTGGCCACACTATGGCTGATGCAGGCCAGACAGAATGTCACTGGCCACCTGGGCACACGGCGGCTCCCTTTCAGCTGCTGTTTCATAACTGACCAAAAGCACAAGGAGAAGAAACACAGTGGGGCTGCAGCTGGGCACAGCTTGCCCACAGCCATGGGTTTGAGTGCTGGGCACGGCATCACAGCTCCCTGCACACACACTCACCCCACAGGGCACAGCCGGGGCTGGGATCAGTCCCAGCCCCAGGAACTGGGAGCAACGGAACAGTGGGCAGTGAAAGGGAAAGGCAAATGTTCATATCCCAGAAAAGCAGAAGTTTAGCTACCAGGCTGGTTAAAGTGTGATTAAAGTTTTCATGTTTATTTGCTATTTTCACTTATTTACGTGACTGCTATCTGGCTTTACCAGGTTTTTATTATACTACATGTCTGTTCATCCCAGGATCATGAGGTGGTCTCTACAGTCAGGAGGGCAGTGCCTGCCAGCAGCACAGCAACATCTGTGAATAGTGCAGCTATGGATAAAAATAAAACCTGAATACTACAGCCAGTAGAAATGGCTACTCAGAAGTGAAGTACTTTGTTTCACCTACAGCAAATACAAATTTCATGCACAAGGCACTCAGGAATGCCCCCTGTGGAAGGAGGACAGTCATGAGGTTCTTGATGGAGGCTGCATCAAACAAAGATCAAAGGACATCTCTGGCCAGCCATGAGAGCACTGGGTGTGGAAAGTCAATAAGCTCAGTGGATGCTCACGTTTGGCTTTGTTCTTGTATCTGTCAAAGGGTAGTCCCCCTTCCAGTCTCTCTGGGCTTCTTTTTCATCCAGTGATTTTTGACATTTCCTGTACTTTCTTCTGCTGGAAGGTAGAAGACTCTGTCCATGGCAGAATCTGGACTGGTTTCTGTTCACAGCCTGTCAATTCTCTGTCACTCACCTCTGTGGCAGCAGAGCTCAGGAGAAACAGAGTGGGATGGGTAAAGCAGGGATGTGGAGTCTGAGCATAGCCAGCCAGGAGGCCACTAGAGAGAGAATTCACTAGATAAGAGTTTTGATATTGCCTTCCAAGAAATTCTTCTACAGGTTAGAAACCCAGAATTCATCTAACAGTTCTTGGGAATCCTGGGCGGTTCAATATCAGCAACAATGGCAGAGATGCTCCAGTTTTAGACTGATCTTGTAAACCACGTTGATACTGTATTGCTGGTTTCTGCCCCAAATTCCACCCCATCCACACAGACAGGGGCAGCTTCCAGCCCTACCCCACTCCCTGAGGAGCAGATGCTGTTGGCACCTGCCCTGCAAAGAGGCAGGAAGAGGCATTCACATGGTAGCACAGCATGTTATCCAGACAGCAGCTTTTCTGAAGAGAAGGTGGCAGGGCAGAGGTGGCCTGGAAGTTCCCACTTGGACTGTGCTAGTCCAAGCCCTGTATCTGACACAGGGCAAGGAGGGGAATGACAGTAGCCATGAGTGAGTATTGTGTTATCTTATTACCTGCCCCAGAGCACTGGGGTGTTTGCATCCCTTCAAGGGACTCAATATATTCACTCCCCAGCCATTCTGTGTATGTTCTCCTCTCTTTCACTGGCACAATCTCAACAGTAGAATCCTTAAAAATCAAGTCTTTTCCTTGAAAAGCTGAAGAATCAAACATTTTGAATCCATTTCCATTGCTGCTATTTCCAAAGTAGACCTGAAAATAATGAAAAATTCTCAGCATTTTGCAAGATGAAGTGCCATGTTCCTGTCATCCAACATGAAAGATGACAGGAACCGTTTTGTAGATGAAAAATTCATACACAATTGCAGAATCTCTCTTACATGTCTGCTTTTAGACGTTCCAGTAGATCAGATACAGAATTCTCCCACTGGCAATTACATGAACAGCATTTGTGATTTTGTGTTTTTAGTTACTATCTGGAAAAAGAGCTGTAGTTTTTTTAAAATTCTCTTGCCTCAATATTGTTATGCAATATAGGGTTTGGCTACCCAGGAGCTACAGACATGACTGAAGCCTAGCAGAGATATTGCTCAGTCTTGATTTTGAATTAATTAACTTCAGGATGGAGAAGAAAGAACCTCACTGTGGCAGCCAGGCACACTCTGCCTGCATGGTTTATCATGGACATGGCTGCAGCATAAACAAACCCAGCAAAGTCCTACTGCATTCCAAGGAAAATTCCAGATGGAAAAGCATTAGGACAACGCAGAAATGGGGGGCAGCCATGGGAAAACACCTTAAACTCCAGGGAAATTACTACTGCAACCAGTGGCTGGGCAAAAAGGTTGAAATCCCTTGAGCACCAGGGTGGTTTTACTGGGTGAGTCCCATGGGCTGTATTTCACCTTCTCTGTCACACTCCCAACAGAGCTGTGCACTGTGCACATGCTGCCAGTGCATGAGGCAGGATATGGCAGTGTGGTCCTGTTGTCTTTATCCTTGGATTGTGTTAGACCATTTATAAATGCCCCCAAAATTAAAAGGATTATTAGTACCTGGGCTCTGTCCAGTAGTCCATATAGAGCAAAAACATTGACATCTGGGTGAACCATAACAGCCTGAGCTGGCACCTGAGCCAGGTGACAACTGGCAAACTGAGTGACTTCAGCACGGGCACCATTTGGACACAGTAACTGGAAATCACTGGACTTCAACTTTTGGGCCCAACTAGCAGTGTTTTTACCTGAAAAAAAGGAACAGATCATTGTTAAGCAATGAATGCTTTAAAGCAAGAAAAAAATAATTGAATTATAATAAAGAGACATATAAAACTAAGTACCATCTGTGTTCTCAAACACTGTAGAGTGCTTCACAAAGGCCACATCCCCAGAATCCTCTACCAGGCACCTAAAGGAAGTCAAAGACATCAATGCTTTCAATTCAAAGCATCTTTAGGGGAACCACATTTTTTTAATAACTCATAGGTTTAGAATGCATTTTTTTACAGGCATTCCTGCAAGCAAATGTACTGGACCCAAGGTTAGTAAGAAAAAACAGAGAAATCTTGGATGGAGAGAAAAGCAAAAAAATATTTTAAAAATATTCTGAATTACAAATTTCAAGAGTGAAATAGAGTAGAAAAAATTTATTAAAAGCAATGTGAAAAACAAGAAAGACCAATTTTAGATGAGTAAAAAACCAGAAGATCTATTATGTGATATTCAGTGCAGCATTTGCAGCCCTGGATACTGGAGATCTCCAGTTAATCTAACTGCAATTTCCAAGGATATTGCTCCAGAACAAAGTAATGTTTCTTCTAATTTTCTGAAGCAGAAGTAGCCCAACATGCTAAGAGGCCCTAAAACCACCTCCTTTCCTATGTAGCTTATTCTGTAAGTGTTTTCAAGAAGCATTCCCTAAAACAAAGTAATGAAAGCAATGAAATGGATGTAAAGCATGGCTTATGCTGTACAAAATACAAGGGAAAGTTATGACTGACAACAGTTACCCAAAATACATGTATTTCAATTGCACCTAGTTTAACATCAACAGTTCTAATCAAAGGTGATAAGTGACAATATGGCTGACACTGTCACACAGAGAACAAGGACTCAGTGGGGCTCTTCAGTGCATTTCCCCATCATAAAAAACTTTGCTAACAGATTTTTCAGCATTCTGTGCAGTTTGATTTGCCCCAACCAGTGGGATATACACAAACTGAATGGCCTCTCACACCTATATCAAATTAGTCTGAAGACAGCCAGAGTTGAAGGAATCTGGAAATCTGAATTTTAAGTCCATCTCAATCACCTTCCATAATTCATTCTTCTTTCAGAGGGGATCACCTAAGTGTCACAGATAGATCTACCCCTAACTTGAAGTTTGACTGTATGGGCACTTTTATCAACTGCAGAATCTTAGAATTATGAGGAAGGCTCATGCAGCCTGTAACAGCATTTATTGCTCATCCATCTCCTGACTGGGAGCTGGCTCCATCCACGAAGTACAGCAGAGGATCTGGAGTTTGCCTGCAAGGCTTGTACCCAGCAGAGCAGCTGGACTCAACTAAACAGATTTGCAAAAAGTAGTTATCCAAATCTAACACTTCATTATTTACCAGGCAGCTGCTGTTGAAGTCTCCTCCCTGCAGGGAAAAGGTGGCTTTCTGCCAGCTGTTCCATGCACCATCACCTTCTGAGGTGAAGGTCAGGAAAAGGAAGTGCTCCTTCCATATCCAAGGCTTTGGGTACAGCCCCATCTGTACATGTACACTATTGCACAAAGTATTTGTTCCATTTTAAATTATTTTCTCCCCTCTATTTTTAACACACTTTGTTTTGAAGAGGATTTGGTAATTGAACACTGGCCATAGCTGTTTGTGCTGTACAGAAATCTACCTTCATCAATAGCCACCAATGAATCAGAGTAGTGAAGACACATTCCAGGCTCCCTGTCACAAGCCTGTCACTCTCTGCAGGGACTTACAGCCGCCAGATCCTACTGTGTGCCTGCTTCCCTGCTTTCCCACCTGGCTGTGTGCAAGGCAGCTGGCAAAGGCTGTGACACGAGCCAGTGCAATGCATAACACCATACCAGCACTGGTGAGGACATCTGGGGACACACATCCCACCTCACTGATGGCCCCTGCTGCAGCAGCAACAACCTCTGCCTGCCGACTGGGATGGAAAACAGGCACTGCCTGCATTTTGGCAGGCCGACACATTGAGTCACAGCTGTGGCTATCAGTTACCTGAAGGCTCCACTGTAGCTGTAGTAACGTTCTTGGCTACTTGCGCTGCATTTGTTGTTTCCACTCTCATCTCCAATACACAGCTGACAGAGCTTTGCTGGGTAATTGTCCTGCTCAGCTGAAGGGACACAGCTGGCAGAGAAAAACTCACTCACAGCTGGGGAAAGACAAAACCAACATAAGGAATGAAAAGTGTGGCCTCTTCACAAAAAAAGGCAGACATCATGAAGTTATAACCAATGCAGGTTTCAGTAGAACAGTAGAAATTCAAGTTATAGCTGCCTTACTGGAATTCATGAACTGGAACTTCTAAAATATTTTTAGAGCACTATTTAGCTGACTATGTAATGAAACCAAAGAGCTTCCTAGGTGATAGATAAGAAGGCAAGGAAAATTAGAAGGTGGAGGTCCATGTTTACAGGTCTTTTTCTGATTGTGCTACATGTTTCATTACCTAAAGCAGTTTGAAAATAAATGAAATCAAATCCTGGACCAGGGCACAGGGATGCATCACCAGTGCTCATAATAATGAGGTGTGCTTGGTGAGCAGTCAGGGAAGTGAAAGTTCTCCACTGACATTTGTGGCAAGCTCTGAGCTCCAGTGTAAAAAGGACATGGACAGTCTAGAGCTGACACAGTGGAAGGACAGTAGGATGCTCAGAGGGCTGAAACACAACTTGCATTTACCAGGCTGAGAGCTGGACTTGGTCAGCCTGGAGATAAGGCAACTAGCAGTGTATTGTTATCTTAATCTACATGGTGGGTTTTTCAGGGAGACAGAGCCACATCCTTCTCAGGGGTGCAGAGCAAAAAGATGAGAAGGAAAATTCTGATTAGATATAAGAAAAGAAATTCTTTGTACCAAGGATGGTCAAGTAGGACAGGGTCCAGAGAGGTTGTGTGTAATCTCTGTCCTAGGAGTTACTCAGAACCTGCCTGGACACAGCCCTGAGCAATATGAACTACCAGACCTTTTATGCAGTTGCTTGGAATAGATGACCTTAAACTGTCCCTTCCAACCTAAATTAGCCAATTATTTTGTGATAAAGGAAAGGAATACTTTCGTGTTAGATGTAACATTCTCAGACCCCTCCACTAGTCCACACTGGTGGCAAACTTAAAATTTCAAATCATTATATTAAAAACACAATACCCCTTCACAAACAGATATGATTAATATAGATCTATGAAATATCAAAACCACTTCCCTAATTCAAGTTTATCATTAGACTATTACTATATTTTTGAAATGTATTAATGTTGTCTTACCTTGAGGAATATTACAGTCTCTGTTCTTAATAATCCCCCTCTTAATTAGTACACCAATGGGAATATTCCATCCAGCATTTCTCCCCAGGCCTGTGTGGCAGGACTTCTTCCCTCTCAGGTCACTGATGGTGAATGCATTGGACAGATTTCGTTTCACTAACACCACAGCATAGTATGCATTGCTGCTGTCATCAGCTTGTAAAATAAACAGAAAAAACCACAGAACACATTACAGCTTCCCTTATGCATTCCCACAAGTTAGTGATCATCTCTGCATCCACTACACTTATAGGGTGGCAACTTCAATTGCACCAACAATTTGCTAGTCAGGCAGTATGGATGTACATGGAATTACTCTTCACTTCTACTCCCCCACAGTGCTGCATTCACCTCTGGTCTGTAAGCTGCTGCTGCTTACACCCGAGCTGAATAATCTACAGACAAGATGATGAAAGTGTTCTTGTTCCCACCAGCTCTTATAAACACATCACTCTGAAAAATAACATTCAGGGCATAAGTAACTCAGCAAATCTGCTTCAAGAAGTTATTTTTATGTGAAAACTTCAAACCTACATTAAAAGTTCTATGAATTTTGCAGCAAATTTGAATTCTGCCTTAGTGACACTGTGGACACAAGCCCTCTTTCAATCAGTGACTGAAGCAGCCACACTGACAGGAAGAATTTGCTTCTAACTAGAATCTACTGTGGGATTTCTGTATTTTTGCTTCTCTTAAAAATATTTTGACTTTGTGAATACTAATTTTTTTCCACTGAAAGTATTTTTTTTTCAAGAATTCAAAAAACAAATGAAGAGGTACAAGACTCAAAATTGCCTAAGACTCAACCTGGTCCTACAGCAGGACAGATGAAAGTAGCCTCACTGTAGAAGCTCATCTCATATCCTCCTCTATCTATGATATGAAGGTAATAATTCTTATTTCCTTTGAAAACAGCTTTTCCAGCATGGCTGGGAACAAAGGACTGTGTTTTTAGTGTTGTTTTCAAACAACCTGGAAAAATAAAGTCAATATTTATGTTTCTGAATCTTACCAGAGTAACTTTCTCCAGCAGCTGGTACAAGGCCATATGTCTTCCCAGCTGTGTAAATATCAGCTCCACCCAGAACTACAGCATCACTTTCCTTTTTCTGAAAAATAAAACATTTCTGTGAAAAAACCCAGCACTTACTTTCCCTGCTACAATGATGACACCTTTATGGTCACACCTGTGGCACCCTGAAGGGCAAGGCTTACAGCAGAAGAGCATCACACTGCTAAAGAAAATGTCCCAAATGTGGATAAAGCATCAGTGAAACAGGGACAGGAGATTTCACACACACAGGCTTGAGTTAGCTGGGGAACAGTGCCCTCATCACAGCCAAAGCTCATCAGGGTTCAGGCTCATCCAGAGCATCTGAGCTACAGAATCTCTCCTTCAAATCCAGTGATCTTGCCTGTGACCAAAGTGAGTGCACATATCTAACCTCACCTACCCAGCAGAGAGCAGCTTCTGCTCATTTGGTTTATGGCACAAGGATTGTAGCAGCCTACCTGGATCAGCTCCATGCACTCTTCCTTTGTCTTGGCTGAAATACACTGAATTGCTGGCTTCAAATTCTTTTTTCTAAAGGCAACGGCCATTTCACCACATTTCCAAATCTCCTCAGTGGACACAACACACCAGTTCAGGCTTTCTGGCATTGCTGCACAAAATTGAAAAGCAAATGCTACATTCACTTTCTCTGCAATACACAACAAGGATTCACACTGCCCACTGTCACATGTGTCCCATACATGTTCTTGATAATATTTGCTTCTGTGTTGCTCCCCATCCCTCCAGCTCAGACTTACACCTGACCAGGAACCAGGGCACTCCCTGATGAGAGTGATGTCCACACTGCAAACCTCTCCACAGCAAAGGTAACCTCTTCTCAGCAAAGTACAATTACTGACCATTAAACCCAGCTGTAATAATATATTGGTGGAGTGCAGCAAAAAGCCACCCTGAATATACAAGCTTCCTCACATCTGACAGTCACAGAGTAATGCCCAGAAGAGACAAATCAGACAGGTGAGGGGCTTTGCCACAGCACAGATCACATCTGGGTTGCTGAGTGGCCAGGATTTTTAAGGTTCTTAAGGCAAAGATTCTTGCAATTTGTGTTTCTGACTTTCCCAGAACACGTATCAAGTAATTTCTACTTTCTTCTGATAGCAGGAAAGACCATAATGCTTCAATAAAAAGCAACTGAGGGGTTCCTTCAGCTTAGGGAGGAAACCCTCTGCTAGGAATCTATTCATCCATTTTTATAGACTACCTGGGGATTTGTGCAGCAGCACATTATTATTTCCCCTTGTCAGCAGGTAAGAAATTAACTACCAGGCAGCAGTAGCAGTTTCCCAGATTAATGCCTCTCATACACCCAGAAAGGGTAGAAAATGCCTGCATCTTATGACAAAGTTGGACAATTTGGACAGGAAAATGTTAACACAGTATTGTTTCTAGGTCAAAAAATGACCTTTGCCCATGCTCAAAATCAGACTGGCATCTTTCCATAACGCTCCAAGACAGAGAAGAAAATAAACCAGAATAAAGATGATCTGTGTTTCAGCTATCTTTTTGCTTGGTTATAAAGAGGAATCTACAGACAACTTACTATTGGGGTTGCAGTTCAGAGCTTGCATGGCGTGAAGGTACTCATCACCCAGCCATGCCTGGTAATTCTGAGCTGTGACTGCCACAAGCTCTGTGGTGGCATCTCGGAACAGAAGATTCTGGGCACCGTAGACGGCAGAGTCGAACATCTGAAACTTGGCACCCACCCCATTAAATCTTTGCTGCAAAGTTAAACAAGAAAGAACTTGTCACACATTGCTCTGTGTGGGATGTGACATCCCATACACCTCCAAACCCCACAGAGCCAAAGGAGCTCAGATACCCCATTTTCAGTCTGCTTAGACAGCTGGGAGAGCCCTTCTAGAACACAAAGGAGCAATGAAGAAATGGCCTCCTACTTGTCCCCGGTTGAGGAGCTGGAAGAGAACTGTCCCGTCTGTGTCAGGGCGCACAACCACGGCCCGAGCAGGGACTCTGGCCAGGTGGCAGCTCCTCCACTCTGTCACATCAGCCCTGCTGCCATCCCTACACAGCAGCTGGAAGTCCCAGGAGCGCAGCCGCTGGGCCCAGGAGGAAAGGCTTCTCCCTGAAACCACAGGAGGGGGACACACATCAGCTGGGGCTCTAACCCCACTTGCACATGTGGAGCAGAACACACATCTCCTGAGCATCTCTAAACTATTCCTGACTGCACAGCCTATCCTGTGCATCCTTGTGGTCCTGTAGTCCCATAACATTTGTGAGACTGCACTGAGCTGTGCTGGGGTGTGCAGCAGTATCAAGAACATCCCTAGTTCAGGATTACATACAACATTTTTTGGGGTTTTCTCCCCCAGGTCAGACATATTAAAGCAATGTTATGTTCAAGGTAGTTTTCACATAGTGCCAGATAAGGCAGGTTAACTCTCTTCTAGTCTCCACTGAATCCCTTTAAGGCTGGAGCAATGTAACAGTCCAGGTCTATATAAAAAGAGGTTTCTGCTGTTGAAGGTCTCTTTCCAGAAGCAGCTTAAGATTCCATTTTTACCTTATACTGAAACTATGAAGCACTTAAAAAAATTCTCTATCTCCTGGTGCACACCTCAAAGGCTACATCTGTTTACAGATTTCATCTGTATTACAGCATTTTTTTGCTGATTCCTCAATTCAAAATACATCAAAGATTTGGTATTACATTGTCATTACAAACACTGTATTTCAGACCTTGCAGCCATTATTCAACAAGCTTCAGGATTACTCACCATCTGTATATTCAGGCACTGTGCTGTGCTTCACAAAAGCAACCTCTCCAGCATTTTCAGCCAAACACCTAATAAATATAAATCCAACCACAAAGAGGCATTACAAAACCCCTGTGCTCTGGCCACTGCCAGCTGACAGCCCGAGGGCTCTCTGCTCCATTCCATCAGCCACAGACACTGACCTACTTCCTTGTGCTTAGAGTTTTGCTCAAGGCAGAGACTAGAGGCTGTTGGAGCATGAAGAAAACTATCATCGTCATCTGGTGAATATGAACAACATGTTCAGTGCTGCCTGGGACAAACACCATGACCTTCTTTGTCCAGGACAGCTCTGTGTCTGAGGCAGTCACACAGTCCTTTGGGGAATACACAGGGAGCAGCAAGTGCTTCTCATAAGCAAATTCTGCCCTTGTTAATGCTATGACTTGGGGCCTGAGAGCTGCAACCCAGCACACAGATAGGAAGGAGGAAAATCAAGATTGGTGTGCAAAAATGGAGGGCAAAGCTCAATAATTCAGAGCAGCTAGGTGGGATAATTGAAATAGTCAAGTAAGGCAGCAACTCAGCTCTCAGGCTCCAAGGTTTCAATGGGAAAGATAAGTCAGTAAAGCTTGCTGAAACACTCAGATTCTGTCAAACAGCTGGACAAAGCAAATAGCAGTGGGCTTTTCCTGCCCAGTATATTTGTTAAATATCCATTTGGTTTTAATATTCAGGTATTAATACCTGAAATAGTGGGTTAAGAATTAATTTTGATCAGTCAGGTTAAAAGCATGGCTATCCTAACAAAACTATAGATTTTCTAACAAGATCAACTGGAAGCTCTGTAGGTTCAATTTCTTGTCAGTGAGGCCTGAACATGATGACTGTGGAGAGGGTACAGCAATAAAAAAATTGACAGACATGATTTTTACCTGAAAGCCCCACTGTAGTCATAGTACTGTTCTTGGGAATTTAGTTCACATTTGTTCTGTCCTTCTGAGTCCCCTTTGCAGAGCTGACAGAGGGATTTGGGATAGTTCATACCATTTGCTCCAGGAACACAGCTTGCATTGAAATAGGCACTTACAGCTAAATGCAAAATTAGAATGAGGCATTTTTAGCAATGAATAAACATGATCAATTTCATTTTAACACATCCACACAGTACATCTCTAAAAAGATCCAGAAGGCACAAGTTATTTTCTTCTTAAAAGATAGTTTCCAAGTTTAAAACAACCAAAAACCCTGCAGTCTTCATCAGACCTACATTAGAATCCTACCAGGAGCATCCAAGTCAAAGAACAAAACAGCAGCTGAGTCACATTTCTGTACACACACAGAGGGTGCCAAGGCCATTGGGAGAGCACAGCTGAAGGGATGTTTGCCCTGCAAGCCTTGCCTTGAGGAAGGTCACAGCCCATTGGTGCCAGGTGCCCGGTGGCAGTGAGGTGCCCCACGGGCACGTCCCAGCCCGCAGTCCTGTTGATGCCGGTGTGACACGAGCGCGCTCCCTTCAGGCTCCCCATGCTGATGTTGGAGCTTTTCTTTACCACAGCCACAGCATAATAGGAAGTTCCAATCTCTGCAGCATGGGAAGAAAGAAGCAACCTGAGTAGCCCCACAGCAGCATCAGAGTGACATACACTGATTTTTGGACTCCTGTGCCTGCACTACCCACTATGTTCACACCTTTGCTGAGACCCTGCTGACTGTGAATCAGTGTACCCCATAACTTTTTCAGTGTGAATTGTCTTAGTCCACAGGCAATCTGCTCTGACTTTGGAGGTCACTCAGCTTTGAAAGTGAGGTTCCTTTCAGAAAGAAATTTTCTATTACTCTAAATATATTTGGATTGAACTGATACCAATACAATTTATTCCACAGTGGATCCTAATTTTGTTACAGCAGAGTCAACTGATGTCTCTGGAGCATCCCAGCTGATTTCATTATCTTTGTTTTACAGTTTAATACAACTCAGAGTCAAGAGCTGAGGGTTTGAAGCGATCATAAGGTCATTCAATCTGACTTTATTTAGATCAGAAATCACTAAATTTCTTCCACTTTTCTCTGATTTGAGCTCATAGCCTGACTAATGGAGATAGTCAGCCTCTGGATCCTGAGGCCCATTTGGTTTTGAGAAGCCAAAGTACAGGTGCCTCACCAGAGTCATGATGTGTTTAATGGGGTGGGGAGCTGCTGCAGATGATGCAGGATCCTATGGACTGATCCCAACAGCCGCTTCTGAAGATGCCTTTGGCCAGGTAACACCAAGACCCAGCGACAAAACAAATCCAGCTCCATCTCACAGTAGAGTGATGGGACAGCACTGCCAGCAAACTGCTTCAGAGCTCTCCCCTCCATTCCATCTTAAAGCTAGGGGGAGGATCATCCAGCTCTGAACTACACAAATGTGTTGATACTGAGCTCCTGGTCAGGATGACAAGTCACCACTGAGTTATTGTCTCTGCCTTGAAAGGAAATCAAAGCCTAAGGTCACCCAGACAAGAAGCAGAATCTCGTACTTCCTTTCTTCCAGCAGGTTATCATACATTAGTAAAAACAAAATCTAATTATTCCAATGTATAGGACTGAGAGATAAACCCAGTGATTTATGCTTAGCAATTCATTAATCTATAAAGTATGGAACAGAGAACATGGAAAGCAGAGAGACAGTAAACAACAGACAAAAACCAGCCCAAGAAATTTATTACAGGAACAGCTACTGTGACCTAAATGCTACAGGACAGACTCAGCCATAGCCCTGTCTCCCCTCTGTCCTGTTTCCCCAAACAGTCTGTTACAGGCAGGAGCAACCAAGAGGGAACCTGACCACTACCCACTGCTTAGAGTCTTCAAGAAGACTCCAAATAATATGCAAGAAGGATACAAGCCCTTTCTTATGCATTTTAAGTAAACTAAAAGGTACTTAGTCAGAATATACCTTGATCATATACTTCCCCAACCACAGGTTTCAGACCATGCTCCCTTCCAGCCTGGAAAATCCAACGGCCATCCAGGGTCACTGCATCTGCCAAGTCATCCTGTGCAGAAACAAGGGCAGAATAAATGTTAAAGCTTAATTATCAGTAGTTATCAACAACCAGAGTGCCCAGGCATTTAGAAGAGGCCCTTAGTTAATATGCATTTGTGTTTTCTTTTTCCAATTATTTAAAGGGCATACAAATTTCTGAACAACTCTTACCAAGAGGGATTTTAGACCTTCAAAACTGCCTTCCTGCAGAAGCCATGCAGAAACCAGCCCTGCACAGTGATGGATTCACCAGTCTTAATAGTTCAAAGGAACCTTAGAAATGGAAGCTGCAGCTCTCTGCTGGATCTTAAAGCCCAGCAATTTTAAATTTCATTATGCAGCTAGTGCCCCAAAGCTTGAAAATTAAGTAGATACATTTTTAGATCATACACAGATAGTTCAAAATAATATTTTTTGGGGCTACAAAACCTGAATGCCAAAGTGCACTCCAAAGCACCCTTAGAGCCTGCTGGCTTGCAGCTCAGCACAAGGCAGACATGCAGTTTGTGAGAGGGGGAGCAGGTGGCTTCCTGAGAAGGAGGAAAGTAAAAAGACTTCAAAATGGGAGGATACAAATCTGAGGCACCCACTTTTGGGAAGGTGCCCAGTTCAGCAGGTATTTTCTGGTGACTGTAACACCAGGCTTGCTGGGATGCTGCTACAGCTGCAGGATGCTCTGGAGAGCACAGGATGGGGTACCCAGCAGCAGGGCCAGCAGAACTGCTGCACACACCCCTGGCAGCAGAATCAGCTCCCTCTGGGTACTGAGCCCATGGGACCAGGAGAGGGCATTTCACACCCAGACAAGATACTGCAGAGAAAATAATCAGCAGGGTGACATTTTGCATTTCTAAGCTGATTCCAAGATTCCAAGTTTCTTATCAGTTTGCTTAACCTCTGGTTTGGCCCTGGAGGGGGTCATTTAGTTTCTCCATGCCTTGGGAGCTTGCAAAGCATGGGCAGGGCAAGGCTAGCACTGCCTAGCACACCACAGCAGCTTCCCACAGGCTGAACCACATAAAAAACTTGAACATTTTTTAAGGCATTGTGTGAGAGCACAGGTAATATGTCAATGTTGATATCTAAACCAGATTTGAAGTTGTCATGTAATTTGAAATCTTTTACTTGTTTGGCTTGAAGGAGAAAAAAAGATGATGCTCATTAAGCTGAAACAATAGATGTCCTGAGAGCTGCTTCTCATGAATGAGAGCTGAACGAATCCAGGGGAACCTGAAGTGGGCTTGGGGTTGCGAGATATTTGCATCTTAAAGAACAGACGCAATCCTTCTGAATAACTAGATGTGATGTTCCTCTGGTGAGGGTCAGAGCACAGGACAGTGCAGGAATCAAATGCAATCTGTGGTTTAGGAGGAACATGACAGGAGAGGAGGTGGCAGTCAGAAGGCTCTTACCCTCAGGGAGAACAAAATGAGCTTCTAGAATTGGTGGTGGACCAAAAGTAGAGCAGATAAAACAGAAAGGGCTGGCCTCATAAACCATGAGGTATGTTGTATGACCATATTTTCATAGGAAATAGCACTTTTTTTTCTGACTGCAAAGCAGAAATTTTGAGCTCAGTTTAGACACAGAGCCTCTGATAAATAGCTTTTGTAAAAATAGCACAACAAGACAAAAAAGGTCTATTGTGGTTTTTAACCACAATGAAGTAGTTTTCAGGCTACAGATCCCTCCTTTAAATAACACACAATTACTGCTGAGGTGACACATCAACAGCAGCATGGGCATTTTTTTTTTCAGCAAGCATTTACCAATAAATTTAGCAAAAGCATGAGACTCACCTACAATTTTTTAGTAAGTATACCTGTGATGGTAATCCTCTCTTCATTATTTCCAGAGGAAGTTCATTTATGTGTGTCACAAAATTTGAGAATTACCTACATAAGTGTTTTAAAGACCTGCTGAAAATCAGCTCACATTAAATATTGTCAGGTTCTCTAGTTAAATATTTAAGTATTTCCTAATTTTTACACACCTTCAATCAAAAAGGTCTTTTCCTTTATCCATGTGCTAACACATACGCAGGTCTAAGTCCAAGTTATGCAGTGTTACAAAACAGCATCTGCCCCTTCAGCCACTGTGTCCTGCTCCCTTCTTGGCCTCAAGGATCAGAGTTCAGTGCAGATGCCAACTCAGGGATTCCACACAGTCCTACACAGAGTAGGCCAGCCTGAATATTTAGTAGATTATCAGCACAAGGGGAAAAAAGCAAAAAAGGAGATCTAAAGGACAAAGTCTTGTCTGAAGCCTTACAGTGAAAATTCATTTTATCAGAAAGCAACTTACTCATGCTGTCTGCCTGCCTGCTATTTCCAATGGCTTGGAAATGCAATTCTGTGAGCTCTGTATTTCAGAGTCAGACACTCATCAGCCCTTTATATAATCTGCTTTGCAGAATCTAACAGCTTCCTCTGTGCAATGCAGCAATCAGCCAAGTGGTTTGGGGAAGATCTGACATTACAATGCCCTGTCTATTCCCAAGGTGAGATCCACATCTGTATCTGCTCTCAGATATTCTTCAATACAGTCTGACACCCCTGCTCAGGAACAGTATTTATCAAGAGGCAACGAGGTAGTCGTAGGAGTCAGACAACCATTCTGCTTCACTGACAAAAATTACAAGATATCAGTTCTTGAAATCTGCTCCTTTTTTTCTAGCCACATAATCATCAGCCTCATCTCCCTTCAAACTGTTCTTTCAGATCTCCTTTCCTTCCTCTGAACCTCTTGTCCTTGACAGGCTGCATCTCCACAGAAACCTGGTTCCTGGGCATATCTACAAAGAACATTCTTTATTAGCACAGCCAGCCTTCCCTTCCCCCACACCCTGCCAGTGATGACAACCATGATTACCTGCCTCCACACTTCTTCCAGCATCCACTTTTTACCTCCTACCGCCTCCAAAGGAGGGAATTATTTTGCATACATCATTTTGCAAATTCACATGTTCACAGTCTTTAAAGCCTTCCCCAGAGGCAGACTCTTTTTGAAAGCTGAGCACACTCTGGGCAGCTGAATTAATACAGCTTAATACAGAGGTCTGCCCTTTGCTCTCCCCACTTGCTGCTTTGCCTTTCTCTTGTACTCAGTATTGGGAGATTTGATTTGATTACACTCAGCTTATCTGTTTATACAGCAATTTCCATAACAGGACCCTGAAATGGGAGTTTGATCCAGAGTTTATAGAAATACAATCTACTTAGAAGCTAAGCAGCACAGCTTTAACTACTGTCTGCATCTTGTAGCTCCATCCCTTCTTAAATATCTGCTAAATAAATCTGACACAAGTCCCAAATCAAAGATTACTATTTGGGAGGAAATATTTAAGACCTTAGCTGTGTTCCTAATGACTGGCCACATGTGAGCAGCCAAACAGATGACATGGGGTCACTCTGACATTCTAGTTCATATGTATACTTCTGTGCTTTTTTAAAAAAAGATTTGCCTTGATTTGTCAGAGCCATGAATGCCAGGAAGCAGAGGCTCAGCTGCCTGGAGGGCCACACACTCACCACAGAACAGTGCACCTTGCCAGGGGATTATTATTAGGCACATGGAGAAATTAAACTAATGACCCTGGTGTCACTCACAGCTCACCTTGATCATCTGGGTACAGTTAGCAGCTGACCCCCCTGCTGTACACTCCAGAGGGGGAAGGATGCCAGCCTCACTGAAGGCCTTGCTCATGTCATTACACTTGGAAAGTTCTGGTTCAGACACCGTGCACCACCGGACTCGCTCCAGGCCGAGAGCTGCAAACACAGCACCAAGAGAAAGTATTACAAAACCCATCTGAGCTTTTGGAACAGAGCTCACCATGCAGAGACAAACTTTCCTTCTGCTTCTCCCCCCAAACAGAAAAAAATCAGGGCTCACTTCACTGTGAGTCCTTAGAGGTGATTCCACTTTCATTCCAATTAACATGAATACTGAAGTTTTTTTGGACTGACCACAAGATTAGACTCAGATACTGAAATCCAATGGCATTTGTTTCTGACATAAGAAATACAGGTACCATGGAATAGGTCAGGGCAACCAGACTGTTTTAAACACCTTGCAGAATACACCATCATAATCAAGTTAAAACCATGTGAAACTATTACTTAAAATGACATGCTACAAAACCAAAGGGACTGTCCAAAGACAACTCTTGTTTTGAGTATTGCTAGTTCGTATCTGGAGTCCTGCACCAGCCCTTATTGGTCTGAATTAAAAAAGCAACCTTAGGTGCTCAAAAGCCTTGCCACTAGGCTTGTTATGAAAACTAGAAAAGTAAACTTGGCCCTTCAAAACAGTCTTTCATAAGAGATCGTAACCACAGTCAGGAAAAGGGGAGGGCAGAGCCATGAATGAAAAGACTGAAGTTGAGTAGTGGAGATTTCCATTAATTAGCAAAGAAAGGTGCCTTTCAGCAGCCCCAAACCTCACCCTCCTGAGTGCCAAAGCTACAAACACTTGGCTGCTTTTGTGGGGAGAGGTCACCGTGCGCAGACAGTGCGGTGAAATGGAAACGCAGGCGTGGGACAAACAGGCACGGTCATTTTCGTCAGCAGGGACACAATATTCCACTGCTTGTCTACAATTTCCATTTTTAAGCTGGAGCCTGCTGTAAACCATTTATCATGTGGTTTTCTAATACCTCCAAGTGGCCCTCTACTTCCCCCCCAGTGCATGGAGCCGAGATGCCACACCTGACTGTGCAAGCTAAAAACAGTGTCTGACAGTGCTCCCTGCACATCTTCTGACTTCCTGGCTGCAGACTAAACAACATTGTTGATGCCAAAAGATCCAATAGTGAAACACTGGGTTTGGCTTGCTGCTCCTCTGTGACACAGAGCCAACACTACTGCTGTCAACAAATACTAAGTCAGACTTGGAAAGCTTACAGGAAGTTTTCATGGCAGCATATGCCAGCAAAAGGAGAAACAACTGCCCACCTCTGAGCTGCAGGAATTCTGAGAACCAGGAGGGTTGGGAGAAAGCTACAACAGGTCATGGTAAAAATACACCTCACAAAAACTTAATGTTTGTACTACCTCATCTGTCGGGGTGAAATTTTCATAATTAATTCCTTGGGAGTGGAAGAAAAATCCTGTTTTTCATTTTGGGGTTTTCTTTTTATAAACATAAGCAAAGAGAAATTAATCTGGGGACTCAGCCTCTCAGTGCGTATGTATGCTAAGTGCCATTTTTCAGCCTCAGCTTTCTGATTTTACATACAGACACACAGGGGGTAAAGCACAAAAGTATAAAAAAATCATCAGCCATACACCTGAAACATAAAGTCCTTTAGCTCTGTAATTCAGCCAAAATAGTGAAACAGCATGAATCCACTGGTTTTTTCTCACTCATCAAAACCAAGGCTTTATTGGTCCCTTTCCAAATTGCTGAATTTTGTTAGAGGAAAGTCAGATCTGGGCAATATCCTAGCTCCTTCCTTACAAGTTAGCCCATCTGAAATGGGCTTGAGCACAGACACGGCCTGCAGTTAGCCTCTCTTTCTACTGCCAAGGAAAATCAGCTTAAAACATCAGGTCAGTGTCTGAACCCAAGTTTATTCTCAATTTTGGCCTTTCTGTATATCAGTAGATATATATATATAAAGCTTAAAATGGCAGAAGCTGGCAACTTCCATTTGAAATATGCTCAGAATCCTAACACAGCCAGAACTATCACTGACAAACATCCCAATAACTCCTCAAAGTAATGGCACTACATTGTGTAACATCAAATGGCTATTTATACAGCTACTACTACAGTGTCAAGGGCTTTCAACAGAAAAAAATGGGGGGAAAAATAATTAACTAGGATCATTTGTTTTCTGAAGAACTGAAGAGTGCTTCAGAAACAGTGCCTACACCTCTGGTGAAATTGAAAGCACTCACCAATACAATTTGGGAGTGACAGGAAAAAGCCAACATGTTGCACAGAGCATGAGAAGTGAAATTAAGCAATTATTTCTGTTTTTACAAAGTGTCATAGAACTGCTCATTGTTGTGAAAAACAGACACCACTGAACCAGAAATTGATTCAGTGCTGAGGAAATACAACATTTGATACCAATGAGTCAAGATATATGCATGGTGTTCAATACAGCCTTTTCTACTGCTTTTCTATTACTTCCTTCTATTTTCCTAGCCATGTGAGATTGGCTCTGAAGTGGTTCAGAGTGGTTCCTTCTGCTCTCTCACATCACACAGAGTTCCCATGGCACAGCAAAAGCTTTTGGAGGACACTTACCAGCGTGAAAGAAGAGAAGATAGAAAACACTTCTGGAGCTCTTCATGGTGAAAATTTTGTGATCTGCAATTTTTTCAGCCTTCAGAACTCCCAGAGATCAAGGCTCCTGCAAGAGTGCTCTCTCCAGCCTGGTCTTAGGTGAAAATCAGCTGCATGCACTTGCTGATGCACTCTGTTCAACAACAAGCCCTGCTCACCTCGGCAGGCGTCACCTCGTAATGAGCACAGGAAAAGAAAGCATTCCTCTCCTCACACTGCCTGTACACTTGGAAAAAAACATCAGACCTGGAAATTGCAACATATCTGAGGCACCAATGAGGCCGCTACTGCCTTGGCACCACCCACAGAGTTCATTCAATAAACGGCTACACACCGGCACACGGGGGTGGGGCAGGGCTGTGGAACCACATCCTCACCGAGATCTCTGCATTCCCTATAGCTGGGGCTCAGGAAGCAGGAGGAGATTCAAGCAAAGCAGTTTATCTGGCAGAGTGGACAGTCACATTCTCAGCATTGTCACAAACTGCTTAAAGCCATCATCAGAAGCCCAGGCTCTTACAAAGCCTGTACACTCTACAGGTGGTACAGCACAGGTTAAGTGCACATTTCCTGAAATTTAATAGCAATTGCTATAAAACAGCTAAATCATTCTGACTTATTTTAAGGTTTAAGAAAAGGCCCAGGTAGGATTCTGTCCTAGAAAATCAAAACTGCTGACAGCAACTCTGTTAAAAGCTACTGTGAATTTTAGGGCAACCTTCACAGAGCAACCCTCATTTGTGCTGCCCTTTTATTAATTTTTTATTATTCAATGAACTGCAGCTGCCTGTAACACTTTGTTTAGATAAAAGCTGCTCAGAAACAGAAGGGCTGTGTGGTGTGAGTCCTCACATCCAGGGAAGGCATGAGCCACACATGAGTTCTGTGCATCCCCCACCAGCCTGTATGGCAAGGAGTGTGGCAGGATCCTGCAGCACTCATCAGCTGCCTGACTGCAGGTGGGCAGGATGCAGCTCTAACTCTGACTAGCACCTGTAAGACAACAGCTGAGTCAATTAATTGCTATTTCAAGTTTAGAATTTAAAGAGTACAGAATGATCCCTCCTGACTTTCTTCCCAACCAAAACCTTATGGCTGAACTCTGATTCTTGGCTCCTCAGACAATCTGGAATTAATCGTCCCTTTGTTGTCTTAAGTGTTAAAGAATAACCTGGTGTCACTGGAGTATTTCCAAATGTTCTCAAGGACCCATTGCTCAGACCCTTCCTGTGCCCCTACCGACCAGATTAACATCTGAAGCCCTCTCTCCCAGATGTTTGCAGTAGGGCTTACATTCATGTACAGATGACAAGAACGACAGTCCTAGTACCAGTTGCTTAAGACTGCAAGGGCAGGATTAGTAAAACATGAATCTGGTCCCAGGGCTCCCCTGTGGATCCTCTATGGGGATGGTTCAGAAGGCAGAGCAGCAACCTTTTTGTACAGGAGGTCTGTTCTACACACAGTCCCCTCAACCACACGAGCACAGTTCACAGATAATTTTCCTATTTCATTCTTAACTCTGCTTTAAGGAGATATTAAATTTCTTAACCTAGTTTTCGAAACAATTCAGCAAAAAATGCCAACAATGAAATAACATAACTTACAATAACAATAGAGGGTAACAAATACTTCATCGAGCATGTGTCTGTATAGCAATTAAAAATAGTTGGGTTATCAGGCAAGAAGAAAACCCATGATGCCTTCACTGGGCCAGCAAAAGAGTGGTTATACATCAGTGTGATGCCATTTGGATTTCCTAATTACTCTAGCTGTTAAATTAGAAGCCTTTAGCAAAATATATGCATTGTAAAACATAACTCTAAAATACAGAAAAGTGCACCCAAGAATCAAAAGATCTATCAGCACCTGATGCTGGAAAGATAAGACCCAGAGAAAATCTAAGTAGTACAAAACCCTAACACAATTACACAAGATAAGACAACAAGGAGCATCAGAAACACCTTTTCTGTCAGTGTTCAAAGGTAACATTGGAAACAACAAAACTAAAAATGCAAAGCAAATACTCCAGAGTCCTGTGGGATTTCTTGATCCAAGACTTGTTTTCACTCCCTCATGACAACTGTGCAAGGTAACTGCTGTGGACTTGAGTCAGAGTGGAGTGTTGGGTGACACCTGGCTACTACAGGACAAGTGCCTGGGGGCAAAGTTTGGTGACAGCTACTCAGACACTCCAACATATGAAAGAGCAATTCCTCACAGACCTACTCAGCTGAACAGGCTCTATCTGATGGGTTAAAAAAAGAGGTAAAAAGAAGTTCATACAATACAGAGATCTCAGATGTGTCTGCAGGTTTGATAGAGATTCATACACTTCTGGGGTTTTTTTAGATTTACTCTTTTAAGATGTCTCACAAGACACCACAAACAATCAGTCACTTTGAAAGAGGGAGACAACACTACACTTCTAGTTGCCTTAAAAATTTATGACATTATTTATCAAAAGCTGCATCATCAATCCAGTACACCATGCACTTTCATGGCTAGGAATTCTCAGAAAGACAACACACCTGATTTCCCAGATCTTGAAAACCAGAAACTCTGCTGGGGCATGCACCAGCAGCTTTAACTTCCTTAAGCTGCACTAGCAGCCCAGGTAACACCAGCAATAATTGTGTCACAAGTTTAAACCTGATTTTAATACAATAACTTCAGTAGCCCCAGTGTGGCCACCAGTGTTTCTCTAACACCTGATTTTTGTTTACAGTCTTGGTCAATTATTCTAAAGTGCTACAACACTTGTATTTATCATAATTAAAAACACACTTGACAAATATATTGTACAATAAAGTTTATTAGCTGTTCTCCTCTTTCTAACAAATGGAATGGATAGTGTTGATAATTCTTTACAAACCAAAGCTGATTTGGTTGTGTGACTGCCCCATGACTGTCATAAGTACATCCCTCTAAAAAACAATCAGTTGCAAACAAGCAATGGCAGGTACTAAATAATATGGGAATTTGAGAATTTCATTATTGAAGGTTTTGGTACAAGGTATTCATAACATTCAGCACAGAAGTTTGTGCATTGCAAATGGAAGATCTTGTGCCTGTGCAATCCGAGACGAACATGTACAGAAAAAAAATATATTGTTGGCTCTGAATTCTCCCTTTGGTTAAGACATGCATATTACAAAGGGGACAGGGGAAGACAAACACCCAGAATTGTGTAGAAAAGAGGAGAACTTGCATGTATTTTTTTCTTGTACTAATATTCCCTGGACTTCATGCCCAGCCATCACAGCCCATTTGATTTTTCCATGATTAAGGAAGGTAAATTCTAATTTGGTTTTTTATTTTTATTCAAAACAAAAAGCTAGGAGTAGGTGGTAAAAGAAAAATATATATTTTATATATATATATTTATACGTGTGCGCAACTATGTAAAGAAAATAATTCCCATAGTTACAGAGTTTAGTTAAAGAAAGTTTAATATATATATATTTATTATAACAAAATAGGCAGTTATTGTGGGTAAAATATTCATTAAAATCTGACCCCTAAGAACACACACATTTTTCGGCTATGAATCATTCTCTCATTGCCCTAATGACCATCTCTGCAGCTGTTTTCTGAATTACTGCCAATGCAAATTTGGCATTCCTCTGAAAAATACAAGGTTTCCTAGCACCTAAACATATTTTTAGGCTCAAAAAGTGTGATGACCATTATCTATAAAGAATTTCTGTAACACACTATAAATAGTGTTTCATGAGGAAGATTAAAAACATTACATATCTTTGTCCCTAGCAATTTTATTGGCAAAAAATGAAAAAATAGATTATAAGAATATCCGTATGAAATTATGAAAATGAATATCCCTTTAGGAGTAGTAATGGGACTTAATGAAAATGCTAACTCAAAATTTAAAAGTTTCTTTCTAACTGCCTGAAAAGAAAAAAAGATACTGTGACAATAGGATTGAACTCAGAAAATAAAACCTGAAATTGATTGCCCTGACCAAACCATGCTATTAAAGTTAAGCGTGCAAAGTTACTCATAATTTACAATTTCCTTGAATACAACTTTTCTTTCAATTGTTATGAAATTTTAAAAGAATGTCTATAAAGCTTTTTTGAAAAATCTTTGAAAGTTACTTTCCCTTAAACATTAAGGAATTTTACCCAGCAATTCCCTCCCACCCCCACCCTAAACTAATAGCTGGTCAGGCCATTCCACTGTCATGTTCGAAAAATGGCAAACCAACAACACACAATAATACAAATTATTTAAACTAAGAGAGACACCAAATGTAAAGCATTATGGGAACTGCAGAATGTGATGGTTAGGGTATGAACCACGCTGGAAAGAACTAGAGGCAGGCTCCACTGGAAGGGCTTAAGAGTCGTCAGATGTAGTAGGTGATGTCAGTTAGAAAATGAAAAATAAAAATCTGTTTTCATAATTTTTCCTTTGCTGGAACCCAGATGTAAGGACCAGACTGTTCCTCTATGATCTGTTTCACTTGGTTGTAGATTTCTTCCAGAGTGTCTCCCTGGACAATAGCTGCAAAACATAATGTGGCAATCAGCAATCATCCCTCCTCGATCCGTGCAGAGGCCAGGCTGCTCCTTGCCCTCAGAGTGGCAGGAGGATTTCTGACTGCTGAAGGAACAGACACCCTTGGACACTCCTGGGTTCAGTGCTGGACTGAAGCACAGAGTGCTACTGCAGGACACACAAAGCACTTCCTTGGGGACAGGGACTTCCACTGTCCTACCAAGTATATACCTACAACTGAGGGGATTTTTAACCTTTTCCTAGCTACATGTTCCAATCTGCCTGAGTCAATTCACATCCTCCAGTATTCTTTTTGGCCCAGCTTTTATTTGTGTTTCTAACACAAAGCAAGACAGTGCAGGGCTGTGTCCTCCCAGGCTGGTGAACTCCTCAGCTCTGTCCTGAAGCTGCACAGCCAGGCAGGCTGACCTCGAGATGCCTACCCAGCTCTACCTTTGCTTTTGGCTAAAATAAGGAGGAACTCATGGAGTTTGTTGTCCAGACAAGAGATTCCAGTTTTTTAGACAAGAGGCTTCCTTACACAGTTAAAAGTGCAATCTACACTCATTCCTATCATGTTGGTTGAAAATGAAGAAGTTAGAGCTGTTCTTACCAACACTTCAGCCTGGAAGAGCAATCACTGTGAGATGACAACTTATTTTTAATTAATGTCACAATCTCAGTGTCAGTAATCCAAGAAATAAAGTTTAGCATGGAAGACAGTTTTGGAGGCAGGTCAGACTCACTCTTCTGTGCATTAATAGAGTAGTACTGCATCTGAGCTTTGCTTTCATGTAAATTAGTTCCCTTTTATTCCTACCATTCCATTCTTGTCTCTTAAAAACCTTCTCCCCATCTGCAGTTCAATGCTGTACTGCCTGTGGGAGGAGGCTGCTCCATTGTTATAGGCCAAGTATAATGTTCACAGCACAACAGTGCATGAGAAAGAATCAGAAATGTCTTTGCAAGGCAAATAGGCCATAAGCTTCAGCATCTTCTCTCCAGCTAAGTTCAACCACACCTCTTCCAAACCTCAGTAACCTCAAAGCTGAAGTAGGATGTGCTTTTCATGTACTTCAGTGTACAGTTAAAGTCTGTGGAAACAGAACCTGCTGATGAAGTTGGAAAATGGCAGAAAGTCCTAAGAGTTTTCAAAACCTAAATTAAGCTCCTAGTAAATTTTTGTTTATTTTTTATATTAAATTAGCTGATCAAAGTGAAATCAATGTAGAGATACTAAGATGTCTCTATACCTCAAAATAATCACAGATCACCTGAAAAACAAAGCTCACTATCTCAGTGGTTAGGCAAGTATTATATGTACAGCAAGCCATAAAATTTCAACTCTGGCAAGAGAGCAGTGACAAGGAGAACACACCTGTGAAGTGTTCAGTAAATTCTTGCTCCAGTTTCGTGGCTCTCTCAAATGTCTTCTTGGCTTGCTCTTCCGTTAAGCGTTTATTCATTTCCCTGAAAGTGCAAATATTATAGCTCTTTTAAACCAATGCAAAATACTTGGAGTCTTTAAGGTTTTAAACTGTTGTTTGAATATTAATACTAATAAATGGATTAAACCCCAAAGACTCCAAGCAAAGACTGTAGTGGAAATGACCTGTTCTGGCATTATGGTGCATGGAATTTAACACAATGACATTTGTTTTCAAGCCCTTTAATTTGGATAAGAAGCCCCATCCTAAAGTCCCTAAAAATTAAAGTCAGGGAATTAAATATTATTTAAAACACAAACATTACAATTGTCTGCATATAACTTGTGGTTGGCTTTTCAAATACAACAGTCTCAAACAATTTAGCCTGAGGTACTTTACTTTTACTCACATGATATTTTCCACTGTTTTGGGTTTAATAAAAATGGAGATTGGGTACAGCTGGGCAATCTGCAACCTCTTGATCGCATTACCAGAAACATCAAGAATGCAATGTTTACCCTAAAAAGTGAGAGAGAAAGGAATAAGGCACTAAGCAAACTTTAAGTCACAAGTAGCAGAGCATAATAATTTAGAAGAGAAAACATGCCTCTGAAACCAAGAAAATGAGAGTATTTGCATCAATGATACTGTGATTTCACCACTTTGGCACAAGGTCCCCCAATCTCCTCTGCTCAATCCCACATAATTTGAGATGTTCCTGACCCTTTTTCTTCATTCCTTTCTTCATCACAGCTTGCAGCCCAATCAGCAATGCAGAACTGTACAGTGGAACAGTTGGACTTCAACCACACCACCAACATTTTTTATTTTGCTTTGTTTTGGTACTAATTTGAGGATGCTTTAGGGAGGTGGCCATGTCACAGATGTGATTTAGAGAAGAGCCAGATGACTTAACTGGCATACCTGAGGGAGTGCCCACCCCTGCTGGCAGGGAAATATGCCACCATATTCAGGTGGAACTGCAGAAAAGCCCTTTCCTCTCCCAGGTACCAGCCAGTAAAAATACCCCATCGGAGCTGGTGAAAGGAATTTATTTGTGTTTATTTATTATCCACCTCTTGAGAAACAAATATAACTTGACCATTCCTTGGGCAGCTGGATGACAGTGTGATAAGGCTGCTTTCCTCCCGCTCTCTATTCTCCCACTCAAAAGAATTTTCCAGCTTCATCTCAAAGGCTCCTCCTGTTCTCAGTTCCTTTCATCTAAGATATGCTCATTTCCACCTTACACATTTTTATTTCTTTCCTTTCTGAGTAGCATAGGATTAATTTTGCAGACTGTCATTTTAGAAAGCTACAGGGGAAGAGGAACAGAAAACCACTCCTGGGTGACTACATTAAAGAAAAACTTTTTCTTTATCAGAACACCAATGTGCATTGCAGAAATCTGTGAGCCAGGATACAAACCCACAAGTACCATGTAACCAAAGGTTACTCCTATCATACAACACCATTCCCGAACTCCTGGGAGATCATTCCTGGAAAAATGTCTGAAATTACTGACATGCTTCTGGTTCCTGGTAGAAGAAATAACTGGGATCATTTACATTTGGTGTCTTTCCCAACAAAATCAGAATTTTACTTCAGGAATTTTTAAAGGGAAGTATTTTTTCCACATGAACAATATGTATGTCTGTTTGCTTTCAGCTGATGGTAGCTGTTTCCCAGATCCAGTCCATGGGTCTGGATGCCAACTGGTAACATTTAAAAAAGGTGTCTGTATGTCCTAGCAGAGTATTTTACATGTGCTGATCTGTCCACATCTTTAAATATGGCACATGCTCCAAGTACCGAGAATTAAGAGCATTATTTGAAAAAGAAAAAAGGACCAAGTAAAAAACTATTTGCTGTGTTTGGCCCAACAATTTAAGCCAGGAGCCAAAGGGTGGAGGGCTAGAGAGCCAGCACAGTACCCGTGCTGGACCTTATGGGGTATAACCATGACCGTTTATTCCAATGAATACGCATTAACTGTAGCCTCGAGACACAGATTTGCAAGCTGCTGATAATTCCAAAGGAAAGAAGATATGAAAAGGCTTTTCAAGTGAAGATGTGAAAGACAAGGAAAATAAACACAAGTACATCGTGCTACAAACATGTTTTCATCCAGGGAAGCTACTTTGCTCTTTGCACCGTGCATGTAGAATAATATTTTATATATTTTAGTTCCTTAGTTGCACTGTATCTGATTGAGAAGCACTGCACAGCAGCCAGTGCCTTCTATAGCTGAACAAAAAGAAACATCAGAAAGCATCTTTATCTGTGTCCATTGTGGGTAAGGAAATTAGAGAGACAGGGATCAGCTGGAAGCATGGGCAAGTGAACACAACTGAAGGCTATTTTAGGAATACTGTTTCTGGTTCTTTTGGGGTAATAGCAGTCACTTCTGCTCTGTCTTCTCCTAAACTGATTGCAGATAACTTGGAAATGATCTTTTGTATCCCAGCAATAAAACCTACTGAAAAGACTCATCTTTTCAGCAAGATGGAAAAGAATACAAGGATGGGAACAACTTCAGATCAACCAGTCTGCAGCCCTGTCATGATTTTGAAGTACAGTTCTGAAGGATAGGCCATTGTTTCCCAGAAAATAATGTCAGCTGCAACTAAGAAATTGCTGCATCTACCCAAAGTCCCATGGTGCCTATGCAAGAGATTTGACTGCATGGAGACATCTGCTAATACTTTGTCCTTCATGTCCATTTATGAAAGATTCATAGCAATTTTGTACCTTACTAATCTCCACAGATGGACAAAAGAAGAGAGTCAATTTCAGGTCCAGGATGGATCTGAAGGATTGTATTTGTGCTACCAAGTAAAGCAAATGCCAACAGATTTATAATGTCTAAGCTATTCAATAATTTCATAATTTAACCACAAATGATTGTTTCACAGCTTTGTTCAGCCTCCAATACAAAATACTGTTCATTTACTTGAACAATTCTGTAATTAATATTATTTTCTTTCCTTTTATCACTCTATCCCATGGGGCCAGGTTCCATTCCATATGGTGACAGAGAGGAGAAGAAAACATCATTTGCCCCACAGAATCTCACTGTGTTTGCCCTGGTTTTGCTTCCAGTAAATTCAGTTGCCAGAAATAGCAATACTCACCTATTTGGTCAAAATGGACTACAGAGTCAGCAGCAGAAAAACTCTCATCAACTCAACATGGAACATTTGCAAAAAAAATTTTCACCACATGATTTTCTTTAAGACAAGCACCTTATTCTCAGGAATACATTTCCCTTTTCCAACTTTTTTTTCAGACAAATCAAGTCAACTTCAGCAAGACTTTAGAAATAATTAGAATTTGCAATAAATAGTTAATTCAAATCACTTTGAGATAGAAACTGTAAGGTAATACTCAAAATATATGGGTAGTTATAGAAAAAATACTTATAAAATTGAATTCTTTACATTTACTCTCTTTGTTAGCTAAAACCATGAGGAGCACAAAGAATAACATTTTTGTAAGTTTTCTTTTGTGCAGGTCTATGTCAAGAGGATCCTCATATTAATTAACTGCACCAGCATTACTCTTCATTAGTTAATGATCTGTGTATGTAAGCTAGGCTAATTAGCCTTTAATTGTAGTTATTTCTTCTGCATTCTCTTTAAATGAGAGGGTTTACAACATTATGGTTGCTTTTTTTCCACAATTTAATCATGACGCTTTCATTATTCCAAAGCTTCATTATTTCCCTAAATGCATCTGTGACAATACACTTTGTTTCTAGCCTCATACAAATTCCTTTAAAAGTCAGAATGTTCCTAATGGCTTCTTGCCATTCTTCTCTTTCTCCCTGTCAGCACAGGCATATAATCAGCTCAGCAAATGAAAGCAAGTGGCACCGATTTACCTTTTCTGCTACTTCTCGCACTGATTGGACGCTTGTTCCATAAAGGTGATTATTGTACTGGCCAGCTTCAATGAATTTGTGATCCTGAATATCCTTCTCCATTTGCTCTCGAGAAGTGACAAAATGGTAATCACGTCCATCCACCTCATAATCTCGTTTTGGTCTAGTAGTATCTTTAAATATAAACCAGTAGTTTTTAAAGCAAAACAAAAAAACAGTGACTTTTTTTTTTACAATATCCAAAAAGCCTCCCATTTATATTGCAAAATTGTCACAAAGAGATTGATATTAAGATAGTTTAAACAATATATTAACTTTTTTTTAAAATCCAACAAACAGAGGATGTCTAAAGAAAATTAAAGAAAAATATAATCTAAAATTGCTTTAGTATTTGCTGAGACTTACGTGGAACACATGACCCAAATTTGTCTGGAAATTCTGAGATCAGGTCATCATTTATTCTGTCTTTCATGGGTCCCAAAACAATCACAGGTCGAGTGTAACTGACTAATAAACATAAAGGAATAATGTCAGTTGTATTTTATATGACTGTTAAATTTTAAGAGTTCATCCAAATAAGATCTCTCACACAGCAATGATTTTCATACTTAGAAGAATAGGTACTTCTAAAGAGAATAGAAACACACTGAAGAACATCAATCAGTCAATACCACAGTCATAATAAGATGTTAGACTTTCACTCTCAAATCTTCATTCTCAGTGATTGAAAATGAGCCTCAGATTATGAAGCCTTTGAGAAAAACAAAGCCTTCTCACAAACTAACATCCTAAATTCTAATGGAAAAATGAAAGAGGGGAGGTTTGAAAATCTTTTCAATTCAAAGAGGCACCTAAGCAGCAGCACAGTTCATAAAATTCTGTGTCTGTGTTGGGAGAAGCTTCTTTTCTCCTAAGGCCACAATTAAGCACTCACATACAAAATGACTCAAATATAAATAGTTTCTGTAACTATTAACACCCTTACAAAATTAAGTGTAGTACCTTTTGAAAGTAGTTTAATTATTTATAATAAAGGGATTTTGGTTGAAAATTAAGTTTAAGCAGATTATGTCTAATCACACTGTAAGAACCTTTAAGACAATAATGCCTAAGTATGTTGCCACGTCCAATTTCAGCAGTATAAATTTTAATTTTAGGTTCAATCTTTCTGCACAAATAAGTACCAATTAATTAAAGTCTGCCCTATTAAATATATTTTAATTTGACTCAGAGCTATTTCTTTTCTACTCTATTACTATATTTGTAAGAGGAATGTCTTGAATCTAGTATCTATTAAATTATTAATTAAATAACAAACATCTCTGCTGTTTCTCCCTTTGTGAGCCTCTCTGGTGAGAGGAAACCATTCAACTGGAAATCAGTAAAAAGCAATTTTTTAAATGCAAGCGTGAGAAAATATTTTCTCCTAGTGATTTCCATTTCATTAAATTTTACTTTTTTCTCGAAAAAATCCATTGGCAATTATTAACTAAATTAGCCATATAAGAAAACCATTCAGAAATGGGAGACTGATTAAAGACATTTCAATTGAAGTTGGTAAGTAGACAAATGATCTATTCACATGCTTTTTGCTGTGCCAGAAACAATGAGAATGCTAAAGCAATATGAAACAGAAGAAAACTATAATTTATGAGGTTCTCACTGACAAAACTGTTAAGCATACTGTACTTTCCTTCCATAATATAAACCACACAAGAATTATTGAAGTAGCACACCTTTGGATTCTGCACTAAATAATTCAGAGATTTTATTTAATAATTTATGCCTTTATGATTTATTCATTTGAATAACAGTAAGTTTCAACTTTAAAAGGGTGAAGAAGTTTATCCTGGTGCTTAATACATAAGGGCATGCAAAGCATTCTAACAATTAAGACTATTTCATACTGAGTGAGAGCTACAAACCTTCTTGTTGATTGACTGGTTCATATGACAACACATATTCCTCCTGGCCACCTAAAATATAAAGGCAAAGACACATCAATGTATTTTTTTCCTAAAGGAACATAGGGAGTCATTCCATGGACTATGATGATACAGACACTGCCCAGCAATATGCATTACAATGATGCTGACGAGGGACACCTTTCAAGAGCCATGAATTCTAGACCTCACAAAGCTAAGCCAAACACTGAGCTTTAAAGCATAAGACACAGAGAGTAGAAAGAAGTTCCTGGTGTAGCTGGCATGTCAAGCTGGCATCGAGCACAAGAGAATTGTCAAGCATTGCTGAGGTGCAGCTCCCCACGAGTCCTGGATGCAAGGCATGCATGCTGTCATTCACTGCTAGAGCAATGCCTCCTGCACTGGGAACGCTCTCCACACTCTGCAGCCAGCATTTACAAGAACATTTTTCCATATTTATACATGGCTGGCAACCATGTATGTCAAGGTGAACAGATCTTCCGTTAACTTTATCGTGAATTGACATTTCCATAAACATCTTCAGCCACTGTAATTCTACCAAGAAAGCTATCAATGTATATACTAAACAACTACTGTTTTATAAATTAATTTTTAAAGACAAAGTTGAATGCAAATAATGCTTTGGATTGTTCTCAGCTCCAGGAAGCACATTAGCAGTGAATGAAACTAAAATAACAGAATCTTGAATTTTGACAGCTGTAGGGTTTTTAAATGTTAGTGAAAGCATTTGAAATATACCTCAGTTGCCATCTCTCTAAAAGATTGCTTCTAGTCTAACATTATATCTCTGAGTAAAATTTCTTTTAAAATAACTAAAAATTAACTGTGACAGCAGAGAATTTATAATTCTGAAGACACAAGCTCGAATTACATGACATTGCTTTGAACTGAAGAAAATACAGTTCTCCAATATTTCACTTGTCTAATTTTGGAACATTCTTTGATGTTCATAAGCCATACTTAAAACAGGCAAAGGAGCATACAAGGCTACACCACAGTTTATGTAGAAACAGAAGGCAGATGAATGCTTTTATAAATGCATATAGAGCTTCTATATATCTATTCTCTATTTCAAAGCAAATGCAAAAAGATATTTAAAATGTAAATATTACCATTTCATTAACAGAAATATTTCTCTTATTTTGCAATAAATTTGCACTCAAACAGCAATACATGAAGGAAGACTTTAATTTTGAATTGTTGCAAATGAGGAATACCTTAAGACAGACACAAAACCATGCAACCTGTACATTTTAATATATCAAAAAGTTACTCATGCAAATGGATTTTAGAAGGACAGTATATACTTTCAGAACCCTTTTTAGGCTAGGGAGAGGAACAGGGAATCACCAACTATCAACTCATCTATGAAAGATCCAGCTCACACAGAATTAGATACTTCTTTGGAGAAGTCACATTGCTATAAGGTCAAAGAAGAGTTATGCAAACTACTAAAGAGATAAGAACAAGGAAAAAGCATCCCCTGATTGAGGGCAAAAAGTATATAATGTCACTGCTTTTCAATTCTTTGGAAAAATTAGTATTAATAGAATGAACCTTTTGAACAACCGTACTCATCTGTAATCAAGATAACTTTCATATTAGACAGCAGTAAGAAGAGATTAAAAGAATATTTTAATAAAAAGTGCTCAGAATTACACATTGAGATAAACAAATCCATGACATCCATAATAAAATCATGGCTTCTCAAGTAACAATATAGTAAAAAACTAACTAGTAGTACCAATAACCAGCTTTAAATGTAAATAAGGCTAGCTCTCAGAAAAACCATGGAAGTGAGGGAAGAGAGGGAAGCAGCAAATTTATGAAGAAACAGATATGGTTAGATAGTTTTGATGGTGTGTCATTAAAAACTATAAAAATTTCTGTTTATCAAAGACAACTTCCATATGTGCTCAATTCTGTGTTATTCTCAGGGAACACAGATGCCTCCCTCAATTAGTTTCTTTTCAATTACAGTCTGCAACAACAACAGCATTTTGCATACATGTATACACATTCTCTCCTTCAGTGTCATCATCTGGAAGAAAATATGTGGCTCATTACCTCTGAAAAGATCGACAGCCAAACAAATATATCTGTTAATGAACCACCTTCCTCATTATCCTGACATAAATTAGGTATTTCTGCAGTGCCCATTACACAGCAGGCAGCCAGGAGCTGAGCACTGAACCATTGCATGACTTTCACGGCTCCTTCTTTTCATGTTTGTCTTCATGTTTCCTATTGTCCTGCTCTGCTCTACCATGGCTTCCAGCTCTAGCCTGCAGCCTTGCTGGGAGCTGTTCCCTGGAAGCGAATAGTGGGATTCCAGTCCTGGCAAAGTGGGATTCCAATCCCATGTCAAGCACAGCAGAGCAGCACCATGCAGCCTGTTACCCACCATGAGCATGGAGTGCCACTGCAGCTGGGGAATAGCAACCACTACTGGAGCTGATGCTAGCAGTAAAAGCAAACTGAGTGTGCTATTTAGAGACACTATGTCTCCAGGAAGAGAGAACTAGCATGCTGATTTATCAAAACTGACTCCAGCACTGAATGTGTGTCGTATGCTTTGAAGACAGTTCATACTAAGCACCCACACTTGACAAAATAAATGAGCTGAAAGCAAGGGTAAATACATGTTTGCTTATCTGTACTTTCGTTGAAGTATATACATATTAAATCTGAGTATCAGTTGTGAAAAACTTTAGATACTTATGGCATTATTTAATGGATTACACAGTTTGGCTACACTTCCAGTATTAAGGCTCAGCTACATAAAATTATATTTGTCAGCATTAAATTTACCTTTAAATTTAAGATGTTTAGCTAGCTTGTGTAATTTTAAAAAAAAATAGTAGATTCAAATTAAGCTGAACTAAGAAAATCACAGACAACAATAAAAAATGTCCAGAAAGGAAGTTTGCAGTGATTCTAGGGAGTTTTTTAAAAACAAAGACATGGAACAATTTGCAGTACTCCACCAAATACACAAATACAGATTTCACCTGAAGCTGACTGGGAAGTTCTATTTAACATGTAAATACCCAGAAAAGACAGACAAACAAAACCAAAGAAAGAGCTGCAAAACAAGGGCTCGAATAAACAAAGAACTTAAAACACTTACGGTAACTACTTTCACTATCGCTGGCATTAGAGGTTACATGCTCTGAAATTGCAACACAGTGGGAAAAAATAAGGAACATACACCAATGGCATGAGTCAAACAGAAAGAAAATTGACAAAAAATAATCCAGATGAAAGACAATACTCATATCAAAGTGCTGAAATCAATACATACTGCATATAAAAGTTTAAACGTACTTCTCATAGCTCTCAGGATCAAGCTTAATTTCATATGAAAGGAATTGATGTTAATAAAAAGAAAAACATTAAATAGCACATAAAATAAGATTACAAAAAGTACACTAATTCATAATTCACATGCAACCCTGAAATTTTTAAGTTTTCACTTCAGGATGAATTATGTTGTGTAAAAACCTTGGGATTATGCATTTCAACTTTTATGCAAGCAATTTATTGATTACATTTAGTCTCTTGTAGAGAAAAAGCTGGATTAAATTAGAGGAAATATAGTGCAGCATGTAATACAACTTGTATTAGGTATGATAAGGCAGTTTTTAAAAGTCTGTGCTGAAAAACAGACAGGAAACATGTTCTGTTTATAGAACAGAATCATCTAGAGATATTTCTGGACCATATTACATAGTTCAAACTAGGTATGATCATAAGTCCATAAAGGCTGCTTATGATTTTATGTTCTAAACCATAGGGCCATAAATGCTAAAGTTTTCTGGTCTAGACCAGGAATTCCTTTGAAAGTAGCCATTTCAGAATTGAGAAATGAATGTTACAGCTACTAGAATTCCAACTTCATGATTGAGGACAGGTACAGAAGTGCACTGGCCCTTACAAGTAATTTCACAAACACTGTACCTTACAGTCATGCCTTGGGAAGAAATGCTATCCCTAATGACCCTTAGCCACATCCCTTTAGAGACTCCTTTTCCTATTGCATAAATGCCTAACAGCGGATGTATTTAATATCTGTGATAAAAGCAAGGTCTTGGCTTTTTTTATTTGTCATTTTAATACATTTAGTGGTGGGGTATATACACACAAACATTTCTGCTAAGAGTAGGCAGCAACTTTTGAATCTGACTTGATTCAAATAGAAATACAAGAAGTGCTTCAAGTCACCCCTATTAGCCCTTCACCTGATCTAAAAGCATCATAAGTGTTCAAAACAGAAAAACTCTCCTGGCACTTGTTAAGGAAAAGTTGTGTTTGCTTTAAGTAGCTGTAAACATCAGAACCCTAGAGAGAGGAGTGAAAACTGTTACTAGTTAAAGTAGCACGGCAATGGTGGCACTATTACTGGAAAGAGCCATAAGGTTATTTTTAAATAAATAAAAATACGAGGACAAGATATAAGTAACATTAAAAAATAATCACCAAATTAAAAACACAGTACTGTTAAGGACAAACAAAAAAGCACTGGTAAGCTTCTGAAGACAAAAAAAATCTAATGTGACAGTCACATAAACTTTACATGTTCCTGAAAGCAAAAACTCCAAAAGATTACAAACTAGGAAAAGCTTATGAACCAGTTTTAGTTAACCTCCTTATGCCAGTGGAGCACCAATCTCAAAGAGATCTGTCCAAAAAAAAAGTGGTAATTTTTCAGATGGAGGTTAAAATAACTTGGGAGTATTTTGATCACTTACTCAGGCCTTTTGATCCCATGTCGTCAGGGACCTCCTGCAGAGTAGTCCCCAGAGGGCAAGCAATAAAAAGACAATCACAAAGAAAATAATTGTCAGTAATATATAAAATTGGCGCTACGACAGGAGACAGTTCCTAGAGCATCACAGGGAAAAATGAGTCTATAGAATTTGACTTGACTGGCACATGAAGTGCAATCAGTAATGCAAATGGCAGAGAACACAGTTTATTTTGAACCTGCTCTGAATTAGCAAATTTATGCAACTCCGTTTTGAGAATACACTTTTTTTAACTGCTGGCAAGAGCAATGAAAATCAGAGTAACCTCTCTTCATTAGGAAAATCCAATTAGAATGAATGACTTTGATAAACCAGTCTAAAGGGACTGATTTGAGAAGCTGGTAAGCTCCATTATACTTTCATGAATACTGTGCTTTCTCCTCCAAGTCACAAACAGGGAAGCATCACTGACAGCACTGGAAGGCAGTTATCTCCTCCAGCTAGCCAACAGTACTGCCCAGTTTATTCCAAACTGGGATACTCTTGTGTTAAGTTTGATTTTCACAGCAAACAAAGGCTTGCCCTGGTTTTGTAGCCTGGTTTGCCAGTGGCACCAGGAGCTCCTCAGCCTGTTGCAGCTCATGAAACTGTCTCCATGGTAACACCCTAGTGCAGTCTAGCAGGCCCTTCTACTGTGCTTTGCTCTCCATGGAATGCCACATACTTACGGTCAATATCACTGGTTTCCTGCTCACTCTGGTCCTTGTTCTTGTAGAAGGGAAATTTTCGGGAAAAGAGGTTCTTTTTACGCTTGTCATTGAATGACTGCTGAAGAAGAGAAGGAGGGGCAAAACAAAGGATGTCTAATGTCTGTGTGAACAAAGGCCCAGAGCAGCAGCTTTGCGGAAGCTGACTCCTACAACCACATTATGCAGTGCACATCTCAGCTTAACACTCATCTGCTCAGCTCACTAGAAACAGAGACTGGGATCATGGCTTTGCTCAGATCCTCCATGTTTCACATGCTTAGTAGTGAGAAAACTGGTTCATGCTGTAGAGCCTGACCTGTATTTCACAAATGTAGGCGTGCTATGAGTGTTAAAAGAAGTGGAAAACTAGGCTGCTGTAAGGTGGCCAAACCATAATGACTCAAAGTCAATTAAATCACTTATATTATCTCATTTAGGGCTTACAGTATTAAAAAAAAAAAAAAAAAAAAACAACAACCAAAAAACCAAGCTGAAGCTTTTGCTAACAAGTGATATTATAACAAAACATCAAAAGTATTGGGCAGTGTTACCATCCAACTAAAAAAAGTCCAAAACTTGTATCAGTGTTTTACTATTGCAATTCATTGCAAATTCACTGAAAGGATTTACTCTGTTCTATGTAATTTTGCATCCTAATACAAAGATTAACTTGAAAAGACACAAGCTAATTTCTTTGGTTTATTGAGGCAATTATGTTTTTCAAGAGTGTACTTATAATTACCACATGAAAAACCCTGTATATATCAAGGATCATGTTCAGCAACTTGTGACATTAACTGCTTGTGTTGCTGAAGAATTTCTGCATCTCAGTTGCTACAAACATTTCTAGAGTTACTTACATAGACATTTACATCCATATGAATATAAACTATTTTTGTGCTGCTTGTCCAAGTGATGGAGAGCATCAATGCATTTTCATTCCTATATATGTATGTCTATATGTAATTAGCACAGATTTTACTAATATCTGTCATATCTTCTGCTGAAGACATCATGTGACTACAGCACCTTTAATTTGATGCTCCAAGTCAATACAAAAACCTTAAAGTATAAATAAATCAGTAATGTTTTAATTGTAATTAACTAGAGCTAATACAGCTAACTTAAAATCAGCAGAAATTATTTTCCATCTTTAGGCATGAGTGACTCATCTGACCAGTTTTGCAAAGACATAAAATTTGCCATATTTTTTGTCATTTGGTTAGCAGAAAAAAACTACAGTAGAAAGGATGGTAAAATAGGAAAACACCCAACTTGGTCTTGAGACCCTGTGCCATAGGGGACTATTTATTTCTAAGCTAAGCAGAGCCTATGTGCAGCAGGAAGTAAGAAAAGCGCCACAGAAACATCTTTTAAAAGGTATGGTAAAAAAGTCATGCATTCTAGACTCTATTAACAAGTGTTTCTAGAATTTGTAGCATGTTAGCTTTCAAGTAATTATTTGTCTTTCTTCAGCCAATGTGAGTTCACATTCCTCTGTTATATGCAATGGAGTTGCAAAAAGGCATATTATCCTTTCTACCAGCATTAAGTATGGAATGAATGACAGTAACAAGTAGGGATCAAACAGGACAAAGCTTTTTCAAATGATGGGCCACATTTTTTGGTACAATTGAAAGAGAATGTCTGTATTTGCGCTCCTTTCCTACAGTGCAACACAAAAGCTGCATCCTGCTACAGGACTGACAATCCTTCTGGCCAGACGTGCTTGGCAATAGCAGATACTTAAACTTCCAGTGATATTTCCATTACCAATGTTTTTAAAATCTTACTTAAAATTACAAGGTGTTAAAGAGGCACATGGTACCATGGGAGCACAATCAGTGACATTGAGCTCTGGAAATAACAATACTGTGCTAAGGAGGAAATCCATAAAACCTTTAATTGCCTTGCATCTGGGTTCGACTAAAACTGTTGTTCCACTGTAAAAACTGGTAGATTATCAATCTGACACATGGACAAAAGATGAAGTTTCAAGCCAATAATAAGCCTGCAGGCAAATTTTTATCTTATGGTCCTCTTGACCTTCTCTAACAGAAGTCAAGTTCAGTGCAAATAATTTCTCACAACCAGGAAGGGTAATGTAATCTAGAGAATAAGGACAACAAAGAAATATGTCCAAAGGAGATTCTTGCTGAGTATACTGAAAAATACTGTAATGCAAATTCAAAAAATAAAAACTCATATCTGTAATAGTTTCATTTGGGCAAGTCTGTCTGTTTGGTAAAAGAAGACAAATGTGAAAAAGCTACAATGGTTCAGTTTAGCTGAGGTGGTGAGAATGGGGAATCTGTACAGTTAAAATAAAAGGACTAGCTGATTTACTGTGCTTCATAAAACATAATCAAGTTCTTCATTATAGTTTTGAAAATATTTCATAACAATTATTTTAACTTTCTGTACAGTAAGTCTTCCTGAGCTAATATGAAACTTTATATACTGCATGTATAATGGTCAGAGTCAGTTCCATTGCCAAAACAAAAGAGAAAATAAAAGTAATACTATACGGATTTTACATAAAAGATTAGCCAAAAGATTACTTTTAAAAGATATCATGATTAGAAAAAGGTAGAAGGATTTGCTTATTAGTTGAAAATGCATAGTAATTGCATTAAATTTTTCATAAGCCCACTGGCAATCATTGACAGTCATTACAAGCAAGAATATATTAAATCAGAAGCAGCACAGAAATAAGATAAATGTGTATATGAAAGGAACAAACAAGAATAGAATGTAATCATTTTTGCTCCAGATTTTTTAGGTTTCCTTACAATGAAAGGAACAAGGATTTTAATGTTAGCCATCGCTAGGATTCCACAAGGTCTTAATGTAGAAATTTTCAAAAACTGTATAAAATTGGTATTTCATCTTGTTAATGGAAAATTAGCACACACAGACACAGGAAGGCACATGGTCCATGAGGATATGTATAGTGCAGTCAGCTTACTGGGAAAATACAGAAGGAATACTTCAAGGAGAAACTCTGATGTTAAAACATTTACAGCTGAAGCAAGAGACTGTGAACAGTGTGTTTGCAAAATGAAATGTTACTACAGAAAAGGAACTGCAGTTCTACATCAATGGCAAGCGTAGTTGCTTTTCCACTCAGTATTCCATGCATTTCTTTGGTGCTCTGTCAGTACACAGGGACTGTGCACCAACTCTGCTTTTGTCACAAAGCTACTTCAAACACATCAGTAATTAACTGTTTGCAGTTAATTGGTAGACACCCTCTAAAACCATGCAAATATCTTTCAAAGAACATGGTAACATTTGAAGAATTCCTTAGTGTACTGAAAAGAATCTGAAGTATATAAGCGTCTCTTTATATGACTTCTAGAAAGCAAACTCAAATTACCATGTCACTTGATAATATTTTATTCCAATACCAAGCTACAAAAGCAGCAAAACAGAAGAATACTGCCAATAATCCAGTAAATCTCCAGGGCAGTACCATAATTGTGAATCAGGAAGTAGTTAGAGATATTGATTTTCTTTTAAGTAAACACTTATAGGGGAAAAACTGACATTTCATTAATAACAGAAACGTTCGCCATGTAGCAGAGGGACGTATATATGAATTTTAGAGTTTTTATACTCTGCAGTCGTATACTATCAGGATATAATACTGAGGCTTTAATATTTGATGTGCTTTCTGAAGTTACGAAAACATTGTAACTGAAATAAATTACTAAAATGCACTTGAGCATTACAATAATGACTAATCAATGCTACAGCATTAGTGCAATTAAAAATATAATCACTATTTAAGAAATAGCTTTCTCAGGAGCTTAAAGCACACTTCAGCTTTTTTGAAATGGCAATATATTATTAATTTAATTTTAGATGTATTAATTCTTACATCTAAAATGTACAGGCCTAAGTCTTGAATTTACTAGTCACATAGTACTGGTAGAAATGGTAAGGTTGTAGAATTGTTTCTCAAATTTCAGAACAGCCGAAACATTGCAAAAAAGCCTCACCCTCAAAACAATAAAAAATTTTGGCTGCTGTGCCATTATGAAATGGCTATAATTTTGGCTACAAACATTCCTCTTACTATCTAAGTAGCCTCACTTCTTTCTCACTACTCATTCCCATCACATGTACTGTGACAAAAATCACATCTGGTGCAGAGCTGTTAGAAATGGCACCATTCAATACTTTGGTCAGGATATAGAGCTCATTACAGTACATTACAGTATTAGGAAGCATATATATTTCTATGCTAATCCTTTAAATAATTTGCAGTGTTTTGGCAATTAAAGTCTGCTTTGGTGCTCACAATTATTTAATTTCTATTTGACAGAATTTACTCTTTTCACTCAAATCTGAAAGTGATTCTCCACACACAAAATCGCAGAAAAATGTTACCATTCACAATACCAGGTGTAATTAACACTAAATTAACTCACCCCTTTATCTCCTCTTGTTTTGGAATTGAATTTCACTGTCTTCAAACGGGCTCGTTCTTTTTTCTCAACTCTACCACAAAAACACACACAAAAATGTCAGAAATCAGCAAAACTGCAGAACTTCAAGTTAGCACTTGTTATAGCAGAAGCGTATTGGTGTACCTTTTGTACTATTTTATTGCTTATGACACATTCAGAAAATGGAAGCCTGCTAATGGAAAACTGTTATTTCTCAAGTGATGCTCTGTGGAATTATTTGGAAGTATACTATTTAGAATTATGAGGAAGTATTTTGTGGCTATGCATGTTCAATAAATCCAGAGAGTGCAAAGAAGAAACACAATATAGTAAGTGAACAGCCTCAATTATCAATCAATAGCAGATACTAAGATTCAGAGCACCTAAACTCTTATTTGAGTCTCCAGTATGCCAACAAAAACCTCGTCTCCATTGGCTACCAAAGAATGTTTTTCCAGTTTTCCATGTTCTGGGTAGAAAGAATTCATGACAGTGTCATGACTTGAATAAAATTCATTCACACTTTGCACCTTTTCATACACAAATGGTTAATCATCTGATATTAAACCCACAGCTTACAGTGAGAACAGAGGTGGATGTGGACCACCTTTATTAACTTCAGCACACAACTCCTAGAGCTAAATGGGGTTTTAATGAACTTTTCATTGAGTAAATGAGAATTCTACTACAGATTACTTAAAAACAAAAGAATCAAACGAGTGGCTGATGTGGTACAGAATTAGCATGGAAGAGAAAAGCATATACAATATATGTATTAATCAGATCAGGTGTTTAATAGCAGACATCTCCAAGTCAATGAAGTGAGCCATACCTCCGTTTGCTTGGGATAACTCCAATTTCATCACTTTCTCCATCTGGAGTTACCTGCCGTGCTTGCCACCATTCATCATCAGAAGCATTAATGACGTGGAGAATATCGCCAAATTTGAAGTTCAGTCCTTGACTTGGGAGGCCACTGTCTTTAGTCTTGTCATAATCAAAAAGAGCTCTACATTCAAAAGAAAGAATTAAACATAGAAAAAAAGCAAGAAAAACCAGGACAGTATGAATAGCACAAAATACGAAGCAAGCTGCCTGTGCTATTCATAAATGATTGCATCATTCTGACAGGTACTTACAAGAAGGCTGAACACACTCTCTCATACACACACAGAATGTGTAGTACAGTACCCCCACACACTTCTAAGCTTTAATGAATGTGAAAAAACTTGATCCAGAGCAAACTTCTAGTGCTTTACAAAAGCTCTACAGGAGACACCTACTGCAATTCAATAAGTACTTTGCACAGAGCAAGTTACATGTCAGCCTAGGATAAAAAATGATAAGCAAGTATTTAAAGCATAGAGCACGGTCAAAATTCTGTAAAGTACACTTCCATATCAAGTTATAAATTTAAACTATTTAGTAATTTAGTACAGTTTAGTACTGTCGTTAAAATAAAGGTCAGTATCATCAGTATACTGCTCACAGAAAAAATAACTTAGAAATATGATCTGCTCACCACTTTGTACCATAGTACCCAAAGGCAGAGAACCTTAAGCACATTCTTTCAGGAATTTCCTGACCATTTTGAGAGAATGTCACTCTTTTTCCTAAGGTAAGCCTGTTTTCAAATAAAAGGCACTCAAAATACCTGAGCAGCAGCTGCATGACTACAGTTTTATTAACATTCCCTCTGGCAGCAGCACTGGTTTATGCAACTGAATCCTGTTCCCCTTTTTGCTTAAGAAAGCACAATTGTCTGGAAAGGCACATGGTCCCCCATGATATGGAACTGATCTAGTTTACAAGTCATATCTTTTCTGCCTTTTGGATGATTTTCTACCTGGACAAGTTCCCTGAGGAAATGAAGATATCTGCAGTCTGTTTCTCCCTGGCACAGCTGAGGGTTTAAAGAGGACATGGAAATGAGCAAACAGCAAGAGATACCGCTCAGGTTCTGCCTTCTAAAGGACTTCTTTCACATTTGAAAATAGTTCATGAACCTCACCTATGTGAAATAAATGCTTGCATGAAACAGTTCAAAAAATCCTCAACATTATTTAATCTGCCAGCTCACGTGCTGTCAGTGCTGCACTTTCTTGACAATACCTGAATTCAACTTTACTCGACACCAAGCCAAAGTAGTACCAAGAGCTCACACTGTGATGATTTTAAAGGGTGTCATTTTCCTTGTCCAAATTCAGCTTGTTTCTTCATTCTGAACACTGGTCTTACATACCTTTTTCTGCTAGATTTTTAATATCACAGAAAGTCAAAACCTGTTTGCTCCAAAATGTTCTTCAGCTCTGTGAATTTTGCTTCCTCAAGCACTGAGTGATCTGTATGTGTTCATAACCAATAACAAGGTGTTTACAGGGAAAAAACTCAAAATATTCTGTCATACCAATTCATTTCAGCATCTATTGCAAAACCAGAGCTGCTTAAGACAATATACCTTTCTTAGGCTATAAAATATTAAAAAAAAAAAATCCTAAAGGATTAAAGGTTTTAATGAAGATTTTTAGAATGTCTAAAAAAAAGACAAATTTTTAAATGGCTTCAAAATATTGAAGAGCCTTATACTTAAATAGAGATTAAGAACCTTATACTTGAATCTGCAGTACCTTTAGTTTACGTTTATAAGCAAATTCAGACCTTCAAATTTGAAATACCTTGGAGGTTGAAATACCACCTTCCTTAGCAGTGCAACCTTCATAATACGATATTTTGGGTTAATTCCACAGCATACTTGAGATAGACATCCTGATTATTTTTTTAAAAATCAGAATTTTTTTTTCTTTTTTTACATAGCCAAAATATTGCAGGTAAGAAAATGATACAGATGGGAAGTAGCTATTCCTCCATATTTATTCTGCACATTTGTTCAAGAAACACTCTGGACAAATGTAATTTCATATCTCAAAATAAACTGCACATAATCCAGTATGTACTTTCAATGCAGATTCAAGTTGTATACATTTTCACTGAATTAATTACATGCATCGTGACATTTATTTCCTGAGATTTCTTGTTAGCATTCAAGCAATGATTTTCACCAGCTCCACTTTTTACTTCTATTTTTGAGTTTGCATATAAATTTATAAAAGCTGTGAGCTTGGCCTAACAGCATTAACATATATGTTGACTGCATGAGAAAAGATGCTCAGGAGTGAAATGGAAGCAGAAATGGATAAAGCCATTATCGCCAGCATGTGCATTTCCCACAAGATAAATGGTTACACAGAGCAGGTTTTGCACAATTAAAGGCAGTTTCATCAAACACATTTTCTCTGGTAAAGTCACTTCAAGAAAAATAATTTTATTGGGCAAAAAAGTCAGAGCTGATGAAAATAGTTGTATAAAAAGATCATTTACGGTGTCACATAATAGTGACAAAACTATGCAGCTAACATTTATAGGAATACCACGAACTGCTAATGATCCTATAAATGACCTCAAAAGCAAAGAGCATTAACAAGAATGTCTTTTGATTCCAAGTGACTAACATGGCTTTTCCTCTATGCCTGGCACATCATCAACCAAGAAGGCACTTCACAGCCCAGATGATGCATTTATCTACAAGCTGGAATATAAAAAATACGGTTCTATTAACTTCCTGCATGGGGACTTTCATTACAGATTAAAAATGCCATGTATACATTTACTTATTGTAAGTTATAAACACAAATTAACTTAAAAATAAATTTAGTAATCCTCATCAACTATTGTTTTGAATGCAGATCCATGATATTTACTGTAAAGTTCTATTTAAGTTTAAATGGGAAGTCTTAAAAATATTTTCTAGAGAAAGCACCAAGTCCTCTCTTTTATTGCACTTTGCATTACTCAGGAGCCCAAGAGCACTGAAAAGGTAACTCAGATCCTTCATCCACAAGTCTAGAGAAATTGAAATTAGGTTGCATATTTCATGAGTGTTTATGCTTCAAAGCCAAAAATGTAATGGCTGTGTAACAAAGCCATATTTTCCAGAGTATCTTTTTACCTGCCACACTCATTAATTTCAGTGTCATAGGCTGTTGACCAAATTCCACCAAAGCATTTCTTCAACAAACAAAGCAACCAGGAATTCCTTCAGCAAAAGCAGCTCTATGTTCCATTTCATAAAAAATTAATTAATTTTATCACTTCACAATAAATGAAGGTCAGCTTGTAAAGGAGGTTCTCTTTTTCTGAGTTTTTGGGAAAGTTGTTTGAAACTTACTGTTTGAACTCTGAGAATACCATAAAGACGGCAGCAGACAAGTACACTTAGCCTGCTGCTAATAGCAGATCTTATTTTTCCAAAGGACTTAGGTAAAATTTCTTAGTCGTTGTAAAACTGTTACGTTTCTTCAACTTGGAGACAAAATCATTTTTTGCTGTGATTCAAGCACAAATCAGTGCCATTGTTTGAATTTGGAATGTATTGTGTTGATCAGAAAAATGCACAAAGGTAAATGTAATTTTTGATTTTGAATGCTGCACACATTGCAGACTGAGACTTGCCACAGAAGATGAGATTAAATATGGAACAGATTTACTCTCTCTCCATGTGTTATCACAGAAACTTGATACCATGAAGGCATCTCACATGTGCTTTTTGAATCTCCAGGTGAGCATATATATCGATATAGATATAGATCAGATGCAAACCCAGAAACATTATGACAGAATCTGTCACAGAACAAAGACCAGAAGAAATATAAAGCAAAATAAGAGAAGACACATCAGTACATCTGAATTAGCTGGGGACAGGGGGAGTGGTGTGGGGGGAAACAGTAGGACATGCAAATGGAGTCAGCTGCTGCTGAATTGCTCTATTTGGATTGCTCTCCAAGGGCTGTTTTCCAAATTGCTGTGCATCATTTTTTGATATAGATACAATTACAAAGAAAAATCTGCCATTTTACTCCAAATTGTATTTCTGGGCAAATACAATTGCCTTTTCCTTAATATTACATAATACCAAAAATGCTGTTTACAGGCAGACTAGTTTTAAAGATATCATGTTTACAGGGATACAATGATCTATCTGATTTTATTTCCTAATTTTATTTTGAGAAAGCAGCAGAGATGATTTTCATGGTATTTTTATTTAATAGCTTTTCTGAAATTGTGATTGAATGCCTATAAACATTTTACTGGTGGATTTACCATTCAATTCAGCATTTTGTTACATAACTGGCATCCTTTAAGGCATATCCAAAACCCAGCACTATTGAAAAAAGATATCTGAAGTTATTAAAGTTGGCTTTGAATTTAATTAAAAGTACAGTATGACTATACCAGAGTGACTTATAATAAGAAATAAAGTGGGTAAGTAACATGTTCTGTCAGTATCTAGCAATATGTGAAAATATTCATAAAAGTTACTTCAATGGGGTCAAAATTACATCAGAAACAAGACAGAACAGATGAGAACCCTTTCTGTGCATACTAAGCTGCCTCCCAGTATTTGGCAGCTTTTGGTGTGATGACACAAGCAGATCCCAAAAGCCCTAGCAGCACCCTCTGTAAAGAGATGTGGGTAGAAAAGTACTTTTGTTGAGAAATTTTTGCATTTTAGCTATTTGCACTGACTTATACCAACACTGAATATTGAGCATCAAAAAATTTCAGTGAAACCAGTTCCCACAAGGCTCCTGCCAGCAGCCTGAAAAAGGCTGCAAGTTCTGCAGCAGCTGGCAAAGTCAAAAGCTCAACAACTTCCATCAGCAGAATAAAAGCTACATAAAGAGAAACTGCCTGTCAGTGGGTCAAAATATCAGATATGTGAACATGAGCATAAGGGGTTTAGAACCTAATCAGGCTATAGCTGACCAAGCAAAATAAAAGCATTTGGAATTGTTTGGGCTTAGGTATATGATGAGAGCTAAAGCAATAGATCTTGGGATTATGGAAATGAAGATCTTGGCACAATATCCATATGTACACTTACCTACCTGTGGAAATTCAAAGATATGGATAACTGTGGTATTAAGCACTGACCCTTACTATTTAAGCCATTTATTTTTAGAGATTTAAATTTTAACCCCCAAAATATTTAAGGCAAACAGAAGAAGAAAAAAATCCAGAATCCAGCTACTGAAACAATAGGTCAAAACACAGAAACTACCTGTTAGAGTCAAGCTAAACAGAAGTCCTACGAGTATTTAGCTACATTTGTGTCAAGCATTCAGAAATAGTTAACAAAGGACTGTGACTTTCCTCAGCATCAATGCAATTACTCAGGGAACTGCTTGGTGTATGACTTGCTTCCCTTCCCACAGCTCAGCAGACAGAATACACCATGAGCAAAGCACCATCTGCTTTGGATGGGAAAAGTCAACAGCACCTGAACCTGCTTACTTTTTGGAGGTAAACTGGTGAGGTCCTACAATATTTTAAATCACATTTAACCCAAACACCAGAACTACTTGAAGGCTTACCTGCTCTATTGAAACATTCTGGCTCCTACCAAGAGGCTACTGACTCAATACAGAGATGAGCTGATTTGAAGAACTCAAAACCCAATTTATTTTTAAAAATGCAATCCTTTTACCCACATTCCATACTTGAAACATTATGCTTTATCAGTACACAGTAACTGATGTAGGAGTTGAGTGACACATGAATAAGCTGCACACTGCCATAATTTCCTTGTGAAACCACCTATTTTCTCATCTGCTTCATGCTCTTATGTTTCCACTTCGTTTCAGCCTCCTTTATGTTTAATTTGATATGAATAAATTAATGAGTTATACTCAGTTCATTTGCTTTGCATTTTCTCTCTTCGTTACCATGGAAAAATATTCCATAACAAAATTCAATCGGATAGAGAAATAAGGTTCCTCAATAAAGCCAAGAAAACAACTAAAGTAATCTGAAGGAAATAAGATGGAAATCTGTCAAACATTAAGAAAGAGAAGACTAAAAATTTGAACTCAAGTACTGAATAAGGGAGAATATGAAGACTGCTGTCACAAAACCACAAACTGAACTAAGTTTTTAAGACTTCACATACACTGACTTAAAGAAGAAATATATGTTTTTGCAGAAGGATTATCATCTCTCAAATCAAAGGACAAAAAGGAAACAATAGCACCATTCTTCAAAGTTCATATAGAGTTCTCAGGGATATTACTACTTTTTCAGCTATATTACATTAATCAGTCTAAATACAGTTTTATTTTTATTATATTTACATATAAGTATCCCTTTATTAATACTTGGTAAATAATTGTATGAAAACCAAATACCAAAAGAGTAAGTCTAGAGAAAGCAGGAAAACCCAGTAGGAATGTTATGAAAAAGATAATTACCTGACATAGAGGGATCTCTTCTGGCTGGTTCGCAAAGAGCCTGATCCTGAGCTAATGCTACTGTTCATCATCTGCTCCCGTAAATCATGGATTTTAGCTTCAAAACGACTGTATTCTGTAACAAAGACAGGCATGGCAATTAATTTCCTGCCAAATTTCAGCAATTAAACTGAAAGAAAATCTGAAATAATTTTGATTAGACAAAGAAAATATACAAGAATATTATACTTCAAAATTCTGTGATTATAATCTATAGTTCACAGTAACTATTTTTTTCAAATGAAGACAAACATTTCTACTAATAATTATCAACTTCATAGTAATAAAAAGGCAGTTACAGATTAATTTTAACCCATGACAGAAAGGAAACTTCAGAACATATATGTGAAATATATGTTTATAACCAAGAACTACATTTCTTAAATTTTAAATGTTAAGAAATAGAAATGAGAAATGTCTGTACTTCAAAATGACTGGATTTGATTGAGATAAAGAATTTAACACTACAAGGTGGGAAATATGCAAAACATCTTCTGAAATAAGACCATATTCCTCTGAAAGCTCAGGAAAGGAAAAAAAATATCCAGAATTCTGGCAGGAATTTCAATCCACTTGTAAACGGCATTAGAGATTCAAATTGCCCCCACAGAATTATGTCCAATGTTAATCCTGGAAAAACGGATTGTGTTCTTAAGCAGCACTGTGTACTAATAAAACTATGCTAAATGCATTTGATTTTAGCTACAAAGGCAGCCAGGAAAACAGTAATTGCTTCTTCAGGACAAACATCTCCTGAAGTGAGGTACTTACATGCCGTCAGCATAAAATACGAACTCAGAGCAAGTAAATTTTTCCTTCAGCTGAATAGTTTGGACTTCAGGATCAAGAGATCCACTTGTAAACCCTTCCTAGTCAAAGGAAATGTTGTGCAGCCACCACCTTCCCCAGGAGACCACGTGATGCCAGATTATAACAAGTCAACACTGGCAGAGCCAGGGCGTGTGTGCCGCGAGCAGCTGCTGGACCGGGCACTGAGCTCTCTCCTGAGCTGCACCCTCACTCCCTGTGGGCACCAGGTTATTCAGGAAGTGCATGACTGAGAAAGGACTCTAAAATAAAAAATCTTGAGAAAATGTCTAAACAAAGGCTCCTTCAACAGTCATCTAAAAACTGCGAATGTTTTATCATATTATGTTCTGCAGCCCTTTCATCCCACATACTCATACAGTGAGCACCGATAGCATCTATAATTAACCCTGTCCAGATTATGACAATATGAACAGTCTCTTCAATAACCCTAACTTTTGTCCTTTATAAGCAAAAGCCAGTAGCTTTTAAGATACCCTAGTTTTTAAAATAGCACCAAGTGTCTGTTTACAAGTGAAGTTTAGATCAAACTCTTTACCAGCACTAAACCAAACTGCTGCGGTTGTTTGACAAGAGAATCAAAACCATTATTTCCACCACTACTGATGCTATCACTAATAACAAAAGAATGTATGATGACAGGACAGTAACCAAAGAGGAATGTGAGAAAACAACATTTTTTAGAAAGCAGCATTCTTTAGGGGAAGGGCTCAGATGCAGTGAGAGAACAGCCCACTCCTGCTGTGCTACTGCTGCCCTGCAGGGCCTTGGGTAAGTCACCTCATTTTACTCATTTGTAACCAAGAAACTATAAACCTTAAAAATTTTTGTATGCCCCTGTGTGAAAGGAAAGTAAGCATGGAAAAGATCAGATAATCCCAGAGTTTTCTTGTGCTACAGTCTGTTCAATACTAAAAAAATCTGCAGCTTTTTCCAATAGCTACTGGAAAAAAATTTCTGCATCGTGTCATTTTATCGAAGAATCAGACTTCCTCCTGTGCAGCACATCGATATAAGAGAGCTACCAGGGAAGCCATTTCCCAGTATTGCTTGACTCTATCCTATATTTCATCTGCAGGTTGCTGGTCTTGCAGCTTCCTGAACTAATTTAATTTTTCTCATCAGAACTCCTGGGAAGGAAGTGCTGAATGAGTGACAGGGACATCTGTAGGAGTAAGGAGGAGAATAATTTCACCACAGAGGCTCCTGCCATATGAATAAAGCAAAAAAAGGAAACTAATGGGCTGGGACTGAGAAGGCTTTATGTTCAAAAAGGAGTGCCAAGAAATTTCATATTTAGGAGAAGCTTAAGCACTGTGCAGTCAGAATCTGGTAAGCTCTACTGATGTAGAGCTAGCTAAAATTTGAGTTACTTTCCTCTTAACAGAAGGTTTTGGGAGGAACAGGATGAAGAGAATTCTCACCATCATTTGGTTTGGAGCTAAAAAGTACACAGCCTTTTAAAAAAAGAAACCTTAATATTAGGTATAGTGCTACTGAAACTAATGCTGGAGACAGAAAATAACACAGCAGCAGGACTCTTGATAGCACCAGAAAAGCAGTGTTAGTCTGATACCCAAAGGATCAGCACCTGTGCCCTGTGGACAAAGTGGGGTTGGTTCAACATCAGCTTTAGGAAGCAAAGTGTGAACTCTGCTAATTTATCTAGAAGAGGTTATAATTTGTCTAGGACAGGTTATATTTCTGTCTCTGTGATTGAGAAGAGTTGGATATCAAGTGTCTTTTGCATCTTCAATCTCTTACTTTCCTTCAGCTTATCATGCCTAGATTCTCATAAATGCTAGAGAATTATTTTCTTTACAATGCCTTTCTTATGCTATGCATAATAGCCATATATAGTGTATGACAAATTTGATATTTGTTCCTCTAAATCACAGTGAACAACACATGGCTATGACAAAAGAAACCCCACATGGCTATGACAAAATCATACAATGCACATATAAATATTTAACTTTTAAAGAAAGTTTTGTCATGTCAATATTCCAGAAATTTAGAGCTGGAACAGGCACAGTGAACAAGATGAAAAGGACACTCTGCTTTCTTGGTCAACAGGAAATGAAGAGCTTGGCAGGGAAGGAATGCATTTGATTTCTGATGTAGTGTTATCAGGGTAACAGAAAGGGCATAAGCTGTTTAAATGAAAAGGTAGAAGTGATTTTAACCCAAATGAAGCAGGCTGTCCACTGGAACTCCATCTAAAAATATACTTCCAATTTCCACACCCATCAAAACACTGAAATTCTGAAATACTGTTTTAATGAGAACTATGGTGGTACATAGAAACACAGACACCCACACAAAAAGAAATTCAAAGCCAAAAGAAAACCACACAATCCGACCTCTCAATACTTTCAGTAAGAATTTGGTCAGGCTCCAAAACCAGATGTATACGCAACAGCAGTGAATGAAACCTCACTCAGAATCAACTTTTAAGGTCTCAATTTTAGGAAAGCTGCCGCTGATATACATCAAATAAAGGATAGCAGGCAGCAAAACTACCACAGAACACAATCAGATTCTTACTGTGAATTGGAATAAGGGCATCTTTTCTTGACTGGAATTTTCCTCAAAGTTCCCAGGAAGTTTAGAGGCAGGGAGGGAACAGCATCTACTGATATAACAGCGAGATTGAGGAAACAAAAGCACCTCCTGCTTCAATTCATGGCATTTATCCAAGAGAACCTCACCATCATCCAAGGAAAAAAACCCAAAGCCTACTCAGGTTGACACAATCAGTTGTTAAGAACAGAGGATGAATACATCTGGGCTCAAGTTTAAACTTCAAAATTACACTGGATAAGCAGATGGTGCAAAACTAGACTAAATCTGCTGTATGTCTGCATGTATTCCACAGCAAGAAACAAAAAGGAGGGAAGATTAGCAAATCCTAGAAGATTACTCTGATTCCAAGCTGCTAAAGTGATTTTACCTAGAAATCTGTAATATTTTTAACGTCACTATTTGCTTGAACAGAAAATCAGAAGTCCAGAAAGGATCTGATCAATGGAACTCTCCTGGACTGCCCATCTGATGGGCAACAAAACACAGATCCACAGAAAAACTGTCTGTGCAGGCAGGGGGAGAGGAAAACACGGCTGCAGTGGAAATGCATCTGGTCTGGAACACACATTCCAGCAATTGGGCAGGAGAGCAGAAGGCTGCACAAGGGATGGAATTCAGCACACAGTACAGGAGGAGCAGCGACTGAAGGAAGCCGGGATGTGCGCACAGGGAACAGATGGCAGAGACTCTTACATGCAGCGAACCCACGTAGAGCTGAAAAAGTTCACTTTCATTAAAAAAGTATGCCCCTTGCTTCCCTCTTCCCATCTGTCTGTGGAAAGCCCTCTTTAGCAGGGCCTCTTGGATCTGTCTAAGCAGGACTCTTGTGCTGACAATTTTATATAACTACTGATTTATAGTCTTTTCTCAACTTGCAGAATATTCAATTTTCCTTTTCAGTGTCTCCAAAGAGAGAAGTGGAGTCTGGTAGTTAGGATGGCCACAATCATACTGATTCTATATTGACCTGCCATTTTTCTTTTAAAATGCATGGACCACAATAAAAATGTCATAAATAATTTCTGAGGAGATATTTTGCTGCAATGCTTGTCATTTGATATGAACATTGCCAGAGACAGACCAGAATGAATTCCACATGCTGTTGGTGACTTTCATATACTCTAATGTTTAATGAGCTTGTATCTCATTAATCACTTGAAAGCCTGTGCCAAGGAATTTCAAAAGATTAGAAAAACTGCATTTGTATTTAGTTAAGAACACCTCCCACACACCCTGGAAAACTCAGAAAGAGACTAGGTCCGCTCACTGCTGAGGTGAATCCACTAAAAATGTTGCTGAAGGCTTAGCAAGCATTCACAAGCAATTTTATTTAGTATATTAAAGAGTAGGAGTGAGGATTTAAAGGATTAAAACATGTGTAAGCCGCCTTATAGTGTCTATCAGGGCTATATATAGCAAAACCCTTTTCCTAATCTTCAAGGGTCCAGTTTTGAAAATACTCTAATTGACTAATCTAGATTACTTGCAAATGAGTAGAACTAGGTACAAAACAAGCAAGAACAGAAACCTGGAAAACCAGGGACCACATACCCAAAAACAAGGCAAGTCTTTTTTGAAGTACTTTTTTAAAGAATTTTTCATTTTATGAAATCAGGATGCACTGATCTTTTGAACCACCTTTATTTAAGAAAATCCATGTCCTCATCTATACAGCAGGGGAAGCTCAGCCTCAATAAAAAACAATTACTGAAAATTAAGTTTTGCACAAGCATTACTGGCTTCATGCTACCCCAGCTAGGCTTTTGCAGACAGAAGATGCACAATGTATTTCAAAACTAATGCTCAGAAAACAGTCTTAGCTTATACATATAAAACTGGCACCATTTCCCAGAGTTTAGTTACTCTCTTTTGTATTACATAAATGCAGCATTGTAAATAGAAAAATCAGCCACACACTGGCCAATGAGCAGAGCTCTAACAAAACTTTTGTGTTTCCTCCTTTTTTTGTTCTTTTGAGTCATTTGTTTTAAAGACAAGAGAGAATGAAGAAAACAGTTTCCATTAATAAAACTGAAAGAATATGTATTAACTACCTATATGAATAATGTAGGTTCAGAAGAAGATGCTTTACAAAAACACTATGAAATCTTCTCTTGATGTTTTGGTTCCATCTTCTCCTAATCTTACACTGATCCACCAGATCACCTAAGAATATGAAGCTAATCTGATCACTTAAACATCTTACCAGAAAACAAATTATAATTTTATTTTTGGTATGTCAGGTGAATCCTTGGGAAACAGGGCTGATACCCTTTTCTGTCATGACAGGCTTGTCCGAATTTTGCCCTGCTTTGGAGAAAGATGAGGTGACCAGTGAGTGACTGCTGATGCCAACAGACTTGGCCTGCTGCCTCCTTCAAGGCCCTCCGAGAGCAGGACTCACAGTTTACATAACTGCAGTTAATGTTGTCCACATCCTTAGTACAGCTCAGTTCTGATCTAGCAGCGTATAACTACAATAGAAAGCTTAACCCACTAAATTATTTTCTATCCAATTTCAATCAAAGATATTTTCACATTTTTAATATATTTGTTTGGCTATTCTATTATTTTTAAACACTTAAATGCACTCAAACAATAATACAGGTATGGCAGCCCACTGCACCTCATACCTTTTTGGAATGGCAAAATCTAACTTTGCAGAAATCCTGAACTGTGAGGCAACATTATTATTACATTTCAGATGACCTTTTCATTTGAATGAATGTAACAATGGGTATCAATGTGAAACACAGAGCCCTCCCAGAGCTGTAATCCTCTGCAGTGCTATACTTCCCCCTTGCTGCTTCTCCCCTCACTACATTCCCTTCAGGCACTCAGGTTCCTGTGTCCCTGCTATGCAGCACCATCACACTGCTGACCATCCTGAATCCCCCCTGCCAGGAGATTCACATATATCCAAACTGCTTCCTCTCATTCCTCTGCACCAACATTACAATTCTCCCTTGCCATCCTGGCTCTGCAGGAACCCAGAGACACAGCAGTGTGGCACTGAGGTGTCTGCAGAGCCAGGGAGCAGCAGGAAAATTAAATGGATCAGAAGCCACTGAATCAAAACGGCTTAAAAAAAACAATTTTGTGTACTGAAACATCATTTCTTGCTTTGAAACTGCTCCAGGTCACAGTATTTCTTTTCCAGTTGAATTCACAGTAAAGCAAAATCCCTTTTTATTCATGAGTAACGTCTTGAAAGGAGGCAGGAATTTGTAGTACCAGCAAAGGAATAAGGAAAAGCTTCCAAATAAAGATGAAAATGAGAACAACATCCTGAATTCCCATTTCTACAGGATAATTCCTGTTTCACAAACTCTTGCTCATCTCCTGCTATAGATCCCTCTGCAGCATCCAGCTCCCACAGGTCCAAACCCACTGATGTGTCCAACCAGGGAGATTCTGTATGACACCCATGGCATCCATGTACCACAGAAGGATGCACCAGCACAACCCAACAGGTGACCAGTCTCCAACATGAGCTCCTGGCAAGCTGCAAGATAAAACCTGGACTCTACAAGGAGAAAGTCTGAGGTCAACTGAGCACAGTTGTGGGGGTGCCTGGTGCCTGAGCCACCTCTGTAAACAGCACAACACACTCACATTCCATGTTTGGCTTTTACCTGTCCCAAAGAGTACTGGCAAGTTGCTGAAATTTAATTCAGTGGAGTAGAAAAACTTATGAAGGCATCCCTCAAATTTACTGATCACTCCTGGAAACTAAAGGAATGCCCAGAAAGACATTTTAAAGAATGTAAAAATGTTCCGTAACCAAGGAACATTGTGGAGATTTAAGGGAAAGAAAAGTCAGTGGTTACATAATCTAAACCCAAATTCAATAAAATCAATTTCATTCAGTCATAATAGCCTACCCCAAACCCAGTAATTAGGAGTTTAGTTACCATGGATTTAAAGAGAGAGACATGGAAAATTGAAGCCTTTGCATGAGAAGAGTTTTCCAGTGATTCATTTTTCTACAGCCTAACTCAGGCTTTCCTATGACAGAACTGCTTGCAAAAATCCTCTTTTCCCAAAAATAGGAGGAGAAAGACAAATGGGAATTTATGATGGGAAAATAGGAAATGTGATAGGATGTAAAACCATAAATTAGCATTCCCCACCACATCTATGAACACACAAACTGTCATATACAATAACAGGGAATGAAGTGAGCCAGTCCCAAGTGTCTTCCAAATGCTCCTATCATACTGAATCTCTTTACTCAGTTATAATGAACTCTGATGGATGTCTAGAATCTCCTTGATCTGTCCTAGCTGTCAACATCTTTTACAAAATCCTGCTGGATTCATAAATATAAATAAAATACATATGCAATACAAGCAGTTATAACTGATGCACTCCATCTTCATGAAGATATTTGAGAAACACCAATAATGAACAACAACTTTATGAATATTTTAATACCTGTTAACCCGTTTCCAAATGGCAGAAACAAAAAATGAGGAAAATTATAAAAACACACACACATACACCTTTATTCATAAAAAGTTGACAACACTGAAGAGCCATGCAGAGGATAGACCAAATGTGTATCAACAGAAATATGTGAATATTTGACAATTCTAACACACAGCCAAAGCAAATATTTCAGAGCCAATGCTGACCTTACTGTTCTCTTTAAAAGGCAGCCTCAGAGTGAGCACTGTTAGAAAATGAATCCTGGACCACAGCATTGTTGGAATCCATAAAGTTAGAGGATTTTTAGGAAATGGTTAAAAAAGTATAGGCCTCAGACTGAAGTTTTGTTAGCATTGCAAATACAGCAGAAAAGTTTCCTAAGCAGTAGAGCATATGTGACAAATAACAATAGGCCTCTGTAGAATTGGCTTTTGGATGGCAACAAGGTTATTTAATGTATATCTTTAGAAGGTTAGCATGAATAGAGCTCTGTTCTTTGTCTCTTATGAACTAGTCTTTGTTTTAACTACCATTACGTGTGTTTTATAAGATTGGGTAGAATGCTTGTCAATATGTGTTGTTCTATGTATGATTGGCTGAAATCTAGGCTGAGATGGTTTCATACTATTCTGTAATAACTCCACCTCCCTGACATTCCCTGTGGATCAGCGAGCTGTTAACATCCTGTCTCCATTGTCTAACAATGTCCTGAGACTGATGTGCTGAAAATAAAAAAAAAGCTCTTCACTGGTCTGGTTTGTCCAGTGTTGTCCATACCTGGACGTTTTGCCGCGGCAAGTGGGTTCCTTTTTTAAAACGTGGGTTCCTGACTCTTGCATTAATGGTGCCCCGTGTGAGGCTCGAGGAAGGAGTATGTGACCAAGGAAGGAATATGTGACCAAGATACAGCCCCTGAGACAATACAGGCATTGGCAACACAGGCTGGCTGCAGGGATTTGACCAGGAAGCAGAAAAACCAATCATTTGGCCTGACTACGAACAGAATTCCTGGGTCTGGGCAGAGATGTGATGTGATGCAGGTGGTGGGACTGGGGAATGTGAAAGCTAATGCTTCAAACATTTGAGTAGGTCAGGATAGAAGAAATAAAGAACAGCTGAAGTGTGCTGCTATCAGCCACCTAACAGATGAATGCAGCAGTCCTGCTCCACTCCTGATGGACACTGACACTTACCCCTTGACAGTACTGCCAAAGGAAAGTTTCACACACACAAGTCACTGCAATGAAGATTCAGTGCTAAGCCAACCAATTTAGCAAAATTGGAGAAATTTGCTGATCATCGCAGTTCATAAAACAACAAAAATGTCTTGGTATTTGTAACACCAATAATAGATGAGTTTACAGACTCAAGCATTTAATTTTGGACTATTAAATTGTTAAAGTTTCAAATAGAGGCATTTGAAATGTGCTGCAGAAGTACAAGAGGACAAATATGTGTATTGATGATGTAGTGTTCTGCAGAACACACAAGGACGGTTAATCAGCATCAGCTGCAGTCTAATCTGGGCCAGAGGAAACTGCTGGATAGATAGAAATAACATCTCAGTGTGAAATCAAGGAATGAAAACCTGATGGTCTCCTCAGGTCATCTGAATCAACACCACAAAGAAGGAATTAGTCTTCTATCTTCCTACTATTATAGAAAACCACCATATTAAAGCATGAAGACAATTGAAAATACAAAAGAACAATAGAGTATTTCTATTAAATTCTGGATTTACTGGATTAATTTTCATGTTATGACAGTGGCAATATTTACTGAAAAACAGAAATTCTACAATGGTGAAAGCAAGAAATGTAGCAAGCCATGGCAGCAACACTTGCAGATATCCCAATCCAATCACACACCATTATGCAAACATATATGTGACAACACCTATAACAGTATTTCTTTCAGAAGAGGTGTTTGGTGGAAGGACACTGCGGATTATCTTTCTCTGAGCTTCAATTTGTACAAGAGAACTTGAATGTGTAAAGCAGCCCTTACCTTCTGGACGGTACTGAGCTACAATAGTCACTGCTTGGCCTGCGTTCTTCAGGGCTGCTGCTGCCTGTTCATGGGTTGCTGATTTTAGATCCACTCCATTTACCTACAAGTAATACAAAAAAGCCCTTCATCAAAATTAATGCTTGTGTTTATCACCACAGAACACACACCTGTGGAAAAAAAATTAACTGGATGCAAACTAGTTTCCATGCCATGGGCCTTTCCCCTGTTCCTAACATTGCTCCTGAAATCAAGTCAATAAAATCCTCTCTCACATATACCCCTCTTAAGAACTACTGAGACTATCACAGTATATTACTGAGTTAATAGTCAATTTTCTTCTTGTTTAAGAGTGCTTTTTTTTTTCTTTTTAAGGACAACCAGGGAATGTTACTTTTTGTGATGGTTCAGGGACCTTCTTACCCAAATAATGCCTACAGACCATGCTGTCACCACACCCAGTGACAGGCAACACCCTCTGTGAATCTGGCATTGTTTTCAATGCAGCAGATTTAAAAATAGCATCACCAAAAAATTAAGCAGAAATGTGTGTTGCACATTTTAGACCAAGAGCAGTTTTCATAGTTCAAACTAAATAAAGACGTGCTTTAACACCAGTTTTAGTAACAGCTTTTAAAAGGACATAATTCCTCTTAGATAACTCCCAAAATACAATGTAATTGCCCAAATAAATGATTCTCCATAAGTTAAGTAATTTCACAAAGAAACACAAAATATTTATCCTTCAATACTAATATAGAAGAAGCCCTTAGAGAGGTATGAGATGCATATTTTTAAGACTAATAGGAGGTTCAGCAGTTATTCCAGGAAGTAAAGACCCAGTTTTAGACACTGCAGCCAAGTATCTCCACCTCATTAGAAGGGTTATTTCTGAAACCTGTATTCTTTCAATTGAGACACAGCCCTCAGCTACAAAAGTTAATGTCTTCACTGAATGTTTCAGAGAGGGAAGTGCTATTTTAATCAGGTAATAGATGAGAAACTGAGGTAGACTAAAGTTCTCAAAGATAGTTTGGAAGTATATCTGTTCCATTATCTCAAATTTAGCTCTGTTAATAACATTTTTTGTATATCATTACTTTGTATTAATATGCAGGGAGGGGGAAACTTTTTTGCTGTTTGAACAAAAGAAACAAAGAATCCTACAGAAATTATACGATCTCCTTTCCTAAGCTCTCCACTCAGGTCAGCTGGCCCTCCTGCAAGGATGAAAGAGATGAAAATTCCTTCTCCATCTTCTCCTCCAACAATGTTGAAACCAAGACCTGTTGATCCTCGATGTAGGACAACCTTTCTAGGCTCCCTGAAGGAAAAGAAAAGAAAAGAATATGAAATCTTGGTCACTAAATATGAAGAAAAGTAAAATAAACAATTAGAAAAGCTCCTAGATGCAAAACAAAATCCCTTCTTTGTTATTAGGTGAACTGAACAAACCTGTAAGTATGTACAAATGTATAAATAAATAAATAAATAAATTCCTATTGTGCTACAATCCTATTCAGCACTAAATGTCATTACTTAATATTTTCCATATTGTTCAAGAAGATCAGTGCAGGTTGTGACATTTCGGATACAATTTTCAAATTTAGCAAAGCAACTGCAATTGAAGAAGTTAAACTAAACCAAGTTGTTGCACTTTTGTTCACAGGATCCCCTCCTAATTTGAATGAGGGGAGGAAAGAAAAAAATATTGACAAAGCCAGTTACATTCTAATGCAGAAAGACTCCTTCCAAAAATCTATTATCTGCTACTCGATTTAATACAAGGAAAGCATAAATGATCTCAGAAAAAGACATTTCTAATAAAGCAGAAAAACTGTGCACTGCATTTCAAAAATCACTAGAGAGCACTAAAGAACAATTAATGGACATTAGGTATTTGGAGGTATTAATTATTAATTTACAGGATAAAGTAAGAAGCTGCTTTCTTTTCCAAAACAAAAAGTATTATCTAGTCTAATCTTTAAAAGTCACTCAATTTTTGCACTAACAATTAAATCATCTTAAGGTCAATTTTTAAATTTCACCTCCATTAACTATTATATTCATTTTTTCAGAGTACTGTTCTATTACAAATAAATTACATTGTGAAAATCTCTATACATATTGCTCTGGATCACACCAATACATAAACAAAAACAGAAGAGAAAACAAAAAGATGCAGTATCTTTTAAAATAACACAAAATTTATAAATCTCTTTTTGGGATGGAGAGTGTAATATGAGAAGGTAAGTTAAAGAAAATCTAAACATTTTCTGAATATGCCTTGCATTTTAGAAGAAATCTAAAAACTGTCTTTTACAGTAATTTTAAAGGAAAGCAATAAAACCATAATGATATCAACAGGACAGAAAGGACAGAATAATTTTGGCTTATATGTCTACCTAATCCTAAGTTAAAAATCAGTATAAAGACGTATCCTACCTTCCACTACACTAAAATCAATTCTCCAGCTTATTATGCCACTTAGGTTTCAATCCCGGGTGGACCCTGCCTCGGAATCTGAGTGACATTAGCCATATCAGATGATGGTGTGACACAGAACTCAGCAACAGCATGCTGAAAGTGCAGGGTAACATCCCTATACTTGCAGAACAGAAGGGCAACAAAATTACAAGAGCTTCCCTTTATCATCAATGATGAACAAAAGATTAATGCAATCTACTGAATCAGTGAAGGAATGAAAGGTCTCTTAATGGGAAAGGATTAAGAGCTCTCCAGCCCTTCTGGATTTAGAGTCCATCAAAACAAATCCTTGTCTGTGGGGGCAGGGAGGACCCAAACACTCTTTAAAATAAGAAAATCTCTGGTCTGCTCATATTACCATCCTAAAAATCTCTGCAGCATTTCCAGGGCTTTCTGCTTTTAATGCTATTCTTGGATTGATAAATAAAGCATGTGTGTGTATATATACATATAAATATACATCGTTTTATCCTTACAACAATATTTACAAGAGTTAAAAACTAGCATCTATTTCTTGAAATAAAATATAGCATTCCCTAGTATTTTGCCCACTATCACATTTTGGAGCTGCCCTGGCTAATCAATCTGACACTTGGGTTGTTCATTACCTGGTGATCTCATCATCTCCAAGCATTCCCTTGGGAACTGGTGAGTATCTCCCTGGGGATGCTGGGGGCAGGGACTGTCCCAGGTAGGCAGATGGGCTGATATGGTTATCCACTGGCTGAGAATAAGCTTCACAGGGGGGGAAGGAAAACAAGAAAAGACATTAGGATAATACCAAAAAAAGAGTTGGAGGAAATGAAACAAAGGAGTGACCTCTTTCAAAAACAAACCATATCAGTTGAAATTATATATTATAAATGTCATAGTTCTAAAATAGCGTGTTAAATCTGTACATTCCCCAGTCTCCTCACTAAGTGAGCAAATTTTTCAGTTTCATTGTGTCTCAAATAAAACTTTTTAAAAAACAGTTACTGTGAATAGTTGAAGCCCATGGGAACAGTCTGGAGATTTATCTGTTTAAAAGCTGTTTTTAACTTGACTGAAGGAAAGTTTTAACTGAACCACAACACACATAGCAGAAGAAATTTAGCATCTCAATGATTACAATTGATGGAAAATCTACAACACCAGGAGAATTGTTCCAATAAATAATTAAGAAGGTGCATGATATTTCCAAGTTAGGCACATCAATTTGAAGTGCTCATTAAGGCACAGTCATATCCACTATTTGCTATTACAAAGAATGTTCTACAATTGGAAATGGCTTTTTCCTGGCGTACGTGCTTCAAACTTTGAGGTTTAAACATGAAGGGTGGGGACTCTTCACAGATTCAGTATTATTAAAGCTGCCAGACTCTTTGCCCTTACTTACTGTATCTGATGGGGTAGCTGACCTCTGAGGATTTATATAAACCCAAAGCTATTTAACTAATACATGAGACAGATTAATGAAGCAATCAGCACATTCTCCTTTTGTTTTTTCCTTTTTGAGCAATTTTTAAATAGTTTGGATCATATACAAACACATCAAGAGTAATCTTGATAAATATATATACACATTATATATTTGCTATTTATATATAGATACATATACATTCCAAACCACCCAGTCTGGGCTTGATTGTGCCTGCATTGTTCAAGATTTCTAGAAAACCTGTGTGTAGTAAATTCTTCACATGGCATCATATGCATCAGGATAAAACTGTCAACATATCAGCAAGCATTAAAATCCACTATTAACAGCTTCAGCAGTTCAAAAGCACACACATTTTGCTTAAAACAAAACCACACAAATACAGTTATTTTGTTTTTTCTCAGAAAATTTTAAAGCTAAAATGAAAATGAAATGCGAGACATTATGAGCTCTTTTCCAACTACAGGAAAATGGGTGCTGATTAAAAAACCTGAACAACTGTTGCACAGTATAGCAGCTCTGTACATTCTGTTCTTGTACTAAATTATCTCATGCCACAACATGAATTTGAAATTGCTTTCAACAAGCCAATGGTAGCCATAATGATGCATATTTTATAGGAAAAGATTAGATACAAATTCTATTTTCATTGGCTTACATTACTTCTCATTTGATTGTTTTTCAGGTTCTTGCAGCTTTTAACTGCACTGTGTTCAGAAACATACACACCACCTATTACATTCCCTTATTTTTTTTATTTTTTATCCTTTCACCCTGTGACTAAAAGTCAGCTATTGATCAATATAACAGTTTATTATTTCAGACCTGTGGACAGTTCTACAAGAGCACTGGCTGCATCCTTCCTGAAGTCTTACATGTGCTACTTGCTTGGAACAGTCTGGTCCTTTCTCAGTGGTCCTCTCAGTGCTATGAAAGCAAAGCTATAAAGGCACAAAGAGGCTGCTCTCTGTGGAGCTTCTGCACTAAACCATGACTGCACCTCCCCTGAAACTGCTTCAGATGGAAATTATAGCTGAAGCATATTCATGAGGAACGTGACAGAAAGAAAAGGCAAGTCATCACTTTTTGAATCCTAAATAAGGTCTAAACTTCTATTTCCAGGTAAATATTATTACTGGTGGAATTGATAAAGGAGCTGTCTTTTGGATGAACAGAAAACTGCATCCATAAAATCAACTTGCTTTGACAGGAAAAGTCAGACTCTTATGAAGTAATTCCATTTCCAAATCCACCCTCTCCTTTACATAAGACAGTTATAGACAAAAAGAAAAAATGGAAGATTTCCTATTATTTTCCTATTACCTGTAAACTGAAGACACCAACCACAAGTATAATTTCTAAAATGCGCAATAAAATTAAAACTTTATTGTCTTTTACTGTTATTACATATTCTTCTCTTCCCGTACTTAGGCCATTTAAGAAATGATAAGGCATCCATGTCTAGTGAAGAAACTGATTATTCCCTCCCTTCCAATATTTTATTTCTCAATATACCAACACACAAAAGCACAAAAATACTTTGATATTAATTAGGAGTCAAAAATGCATCACTGATAATGTCTTCAAAGGAGGCCTGTATCAAAGCAGTCATCTCTCTCAAAAAAACATTAAGCCACTTTCAAATTCTGAATTTGGACTTTTGAATTAACTACCAAGTGCAGAGAAGTTAGCACAGTGAGCAATCTATGGCACGCTCTGCACAGTACCAAGCACCGTGCACTGTGCTTTTTGATATTTCTGATAAAATGAGAACTTTAATAAAAACCAAAACAAGCAAAAATCCAACCAACCAAACAAAAAACATCCCAGAAATAAAATAAGCAAACAAAAAACCTCCCAAGGGTTCTGTAAGTGAGCAGTTCACATATCATAGAGTTTCTACCTTAACACCACTTGTAGTAGACATGTTCACAAGGAGCCTCTGTGCATATCTTACTTCTCCTTTGTGGTAGGACTGAACTCCTAAGAACCTGGCTAAAAGGATTGCCATGGACAGAAATAGGAAGGAGGATTGCAAATACACGTCTCAAAAGAGCTGCAGATGAGTAGGTGAAGAAAGAAGCCTAGTAACTGTTTCAACACTGCCTCACAATCCAGGTGATCCTAGAAAATACCTCTTTAATATCTGCCATCTGGCAAAAGCACTTCAGAATCCCCAATGTAAAGCTCTTGAGCCCTGTACTGCTCTGCTAAATGCAGTATAAAATACTACACACAGGTGCCACCATTTTTTGGTAGCTCTATCTAACTGATCAGCCTCTTGCAGAAAGCAGAGGCTTTCTGGTTGCAAAAGCAGAATCAGCCTTTGAGGAGATTGATGCCTCCCTTTGAGATTTCCAGTGTAAATGTGCAAATGCTGAGAGGTACTGGAAAAGCTTTTGTTCTGCCCTGTATTAGAAAAATAACATTTAGCAGCTCAGAAACACACAGTTGTGCTTCATAAGTGAAAGACTGAGGAAAAGACTAAGCTGATTTCCTGGAATTAAGTCATTAAACACCTCAGCAAGACCTTCAGGTCTGCTTTGGGTTCAAAATTCCAGCAGTAGGTTCAGTCTCCTCACCAGCTGCAGTAACAGCCAGCAGCACTTTGATCAACAGAGACAGAAGCTCATGGACCCTTGAGTAGAAAAGGCTCTTCTGTTGTAAGGAAAAGAAACAGACTGAAGTTTCATCAAAGAACCCAGCACTTTGCAGAAGAATGTTCTTTGGTCTACCAGAAACCGTGAAAAACAGTATCTTCAGATAGAGAACTCAAGGGAACTGTAGCTAAATGAAACACAACTCAGAAAATCTACTCAAAAGTACAGACAGCCCACAAACCTTGTCAAGGGTCTTTAAAAGACAGAGAAATGTCTGGCATCTGAGAAAAACTTCCATGACTCTTTTTTCAGAATACTTGAGTTGGAAGAGAGAGGTTCCCAGAAGCAGCTGCTGGAGCTTGAGGTACATGACAGGGTCAGGAAACTGGCTTTTCTCAGTATAAGGATAGAAATACACTTCCCACAAAGGATGGGATACTGGGCTGCACAGAATGCCAGCATCTCTCAAATCACCCTTAGAGAGAGAGCAAACAGAGAGAAACTCTGGAGGGAGGATGGTAACGGGACAAAAGGAGCCCACATGTATGACCAGGCATTTATCTCTGGTAACGGATGTGACACCAAGTCACGCTTCCTGAGAAATTAGGGACTCACAGCGAGATGGCAGAGGACATCCTCATGGCAGTCATGTGAGATTACCCTTCACAGAACCTCCCTGATCTGTCCAGTCACTGGACATGCTGAGAAGGAATTCTTGAAGAAGGCACTCTCTTATGGATCTGTGTTATCATGCACTTGCCTTCAATGAACTGAGCCTCCAGCTCATCCACCATTTGAGAGAAATGAATATCTCTGCATGACAAGAGGTCCAACAACCAACAGCCACCTCTGCCACTGTCATCGATTTATTAACACTGGGCAAGTTACTAGGAATCAGCTCCTTCTCTACCTTCCCCCCCTCAAACTTTCTACAGTTTTTGTGTTTGACCCCACAAAAGATTAACAAAGTAAGTATTCCAATGATTGAGTCAAGGTGCACCAGTAAGAGATGAGATACTTCAAGGTTTGTCACATCCCCATCCACAGCAGTGTAACTGCATTACTGCAACATTACCAGGAACATTAGGTAAAAATCAGACTTCTCTTTTCCAAAAAAATATGAATTCCAGGTGAAATATATGAAAAGACCAGTCATATGGAGAGAGAACGGGAAGTCTACTTTCCAAAGAAACAGTGGGAAAGGTTATTGAACAAACTAGATACAGTAAGGGAAAATGGCTGCTCTCTAACCATAAAATATATGAGTAGAAAACAGGGGAAGAATCAGTGGAGGCTGAAAATTAGATATGTCAAGGAATGGAGCCTTCCAGAGCATACCTCTAATAACACAGTGGAGATAAAACCTAATTAGCTCCAAATTGTAATTCAATAAGCTTACAAATAGATTTTAAGATACTGTAGCTATTGCCAATAAATGATGGACTTATAAGGTACTTCAGTCTTTGTTGTGCTGCACTTTAGTTTGTTGTTCTTTACATACTGTTGTCAATTACATCTCTCAGTCCCAAAGTGTTCCTTTCTTTCATATGAAGTAGTACCTAAACAGATCAGTGCTACATATCAATTGCACATATCTAATGGCAGGAAACAAAGCAGTACCTAAAATAAGTCTCCTCTAGAACCATTTTATGTGACAACATGAGTAAAACTGGTAATCCAGAAATGTCAGTCTATTCAGTCTTGGAAATATGCAGTTATATCATTATCTTCCATTCGTCCAACAACTAAATGATAATAACCTTCTTAAGTATACTCAATTCAAATATTTCTTTACATTGTAGTCCAACCCTGAACTTTCTGGATTTGTATGTTTGACTTTGAAAATACTCTTGTCAGTAGTACCCTTATGTCAATAAGAAATTGTTGTACCTACTTTTCAATACAGCATTCACAGTTTTTCCATTCAAATTATCAATTATTATGTCAAAACTGAAGCCATATTTCAAATAAGTTAACATGGAATTTTTTAACACATTCACAGGAAGGCACCAGAGCAAGAACTCCTCCCTGTTCAGTTTATTCAAGTATATGCAAGTTCAAGCAAAACCAGGAAAATGGGAAAAACATCAGAGCATCACCAACCTCTTAGTTTACAGGACACTGAACACCCTCAGAGTGCACTGCTTTCTACTCTTCACACCCCAAGAGCATAAGATACTTGTTCTCTCCCCTTTTACTCACCAGCAAGTGATGAGTAACACTGAGTCTCTAGGACTGGGCCATGACAGCCACAAAAACACACCTGGAGCCCTGCTGCTGCTGTCTTTTCAGTATACAAGCTATAGGATGTTTTTCTGTATAGTATATAATTTTCCTCATTAATCAACTTATATCAGATTTTTGCCTCATATAATTTTTTAAGCTTGCAAAAGTTAAAATACTAAAAATGAAATATGTTAATGCCTTAAAGGGAAAATTAATTAAATCAGAAAGATAAGATGAACTTACAGTTTGTGATGTCAGGAGGGGCATAACTGTCATTCATGAACATGCTGGTGGGTTTTGCAACCTTCAGATAAACAAAGTCAGATGTGTTTTTTAAGGCAGTCACTGCTTCTTCATGAGTAACTTCTTCTAAGCAAACACTGTTGACCTGAAGAGAAAAACAAACACTCTGAACCCAGAAAAATGTACTGTTTCCATTGGACACTCACTGAAGGCTGTTGGAACAGGCATTGAGAGTCTTTATTAGGATTCACATGCCCCAGACATATCTGGTACCATGAAATTATATAAGTTTCCTGCAAGTTTTCTAAAAGCATTTTGTTGCTATTTTTTTAATAGATTTTCATTCCTACCACTCTTGAAGACTGAAAAGTCATTTTGCAGTATTTGGTAATTGCAGTACAAATTAAACACGGAGACATAAAGTTACATTCTGTAATGTATGGCTATGGCTCTCATTTTTCTATCTGGACAAAAAAACTGTGGATTCAATTTCAGGAAGTTGAAGAGATTTTTTTACTTTGTGTATAGAAAAATTCAACTTTGAAGCTATTTTAAGCTTTTTAAAAAAATAACAACCCCATTCAAAAGTATGACAAACACTGAAATGCAACATAAGCAGCAGCTTGACTACAGGCTGGCCAGCCACCAGTACAAGGAGTTCCATTCCATTCTTCTATTTTCAAAAAAGAAACAATTCCATTGTATGTTTGTCTACAATTCTGTCACTCAGATCCCAGAAAAATAATAGCAGGCATCAGAAATAAATATGCTGATTTATACAGGTTTTGCATGGAACATTGGGCTGAGGAATAGATTTCAGATTTCCTGATGGGATGGTGTTGAATGATGCAGATTTAATTTTATCACTGATTTCCAGGCAGCTTAACCACAAATTGAATCATGCCCCTATTGAGCCTAAAAGTGAATGACTATTAAAAAAATGCAGCTCTTACTTACAGCTAAAAGTTTGTCTCCAATCTGAAGTTTGCCATCTTTGTGTGCTGCCCCACCTTCGATGATTTTGGTTACATAAATGCTGTTGTCCCCAGGTATATGCTGATTTCCTACACCACCAGCAATACTGAAACCAAGACCTGCTTGAAGATAAAAAGCATTACTCAAGAAACCTTTTTTGCAATCATTGGATTTAAATTCTTACATAAATAATAACACTCCTTATATAACACAAATATATACAATCAGGGTCTGGCTGAAGTAATTCTGATGCCTTTTCAAGTGAACTCCATAATTTTCTTGAAAATAAAGCTCTAGAAAAGATATAACACATACACAATTCTGAAAACCAAAAGCTAGATCATTTACTTCATGCTTTGTGAAGTATGGGCAGAGCAGAACTGTAAGCATCATCATGCTATAGCATCTATATATTTATAGTCATATTGCCCAGTAATTAATTTCCCTAAATTATTTTTAATCTCTCAAACATCCTTACTAGGTAATCCAATTAAGTATTTCACTCCAATTTCAATGTACTTAAAAATTACTAGATACAACCAGAAACATTTTTCATCATTTAAAAGAAAAGTTGGCATTCTACAAGAACAGTTTCAATTCTATCCTTATGAAACAGATACTTTAGATTTCCAATGTACCTTTGGGGCCTTTCACAAGTTTGATTTCCACTATTTTTTCTGTGACTGGTTTTCTCCTTTTGACATACAATCGTACAATGGATCCTGCTTCTTTCAGTGCCTCCACGGCTTTGCTGTGTGTCACATCCCGAACATCCACCTCGTTTACTCGCAGGATACAATCATTGACCCTGAGACAGCAACAGTCATGCTCAGCTGCTGTGTTACAGCACAGTGCACACATCAGGAGCCTAATATTGTATCTATAATACACTAACATACATGTTAAGGCATTAAAACACAGAGATTTATCTCCAAAGTTCTACTCATTCAAGACAACGCTCTGAAATTAATTATTAGGGCTTAAAAATAAACCAAGGATCACTAGGAAATATTTAAGAGGAATATTTAATTCATGGCTGAAGAGGGCACCTTATTATATGTACCTTATTTTGACAGTGTTTTTGACAGATGTCTGCAAAAATTACCTTTTGTTTACGGCTATAAAACAGAATCTAAAAAACCAAAACCTAGAAGGCACACAGTGCAAACATATTAGTTTGAAGCCATGATATGAACAAGTCAATCTTGTTTTTCACAAGCAGTTTAAGTGCTGGCCTTCCAGTCCATTTAACATGCTGCTGCAGTAACTCTGAGCCCTCATTACACTAAGTGCAATGCCAGGCCCACCTGTCACCGTGTCCTGCCAGATGTACCTCTGACAATGGCCAACAAGCTAAAATGAAGCCTTGAACTAAGCTCATTAGGACTAAAACCCATAATACAGCAGGTATTTGCACATGAAATGATGGGCCAAGTTCTTGGCAACACAAGAGGAAAAAAAATTGTCCTACAAACAATGTGGATGGCTATCTTTGAAAAATTAGGACACTGAATTATTACCAAGCATAAAAAAGGGTTGTTAATAAACTCAACTACTTTGTGGATCAGAAAATCCACATATGGAAAAACAAGAGCTACCTTCTTCTTGAATTAAGGACTGTGAAACACATGGAATAATAAATTTATACCACAGAATCGAAAAATTTCACTTAATTTTCCTAAACTGCAGATATCATTAGTTTGGGAGACACAAATTGATCCACTCAAGCATTTGTCATTATTTACAAAACACTTCCATAAAGAAAACCTATTTAACATTTAATGCAGGAGGATAAAACCATTAAAAGTAACAGAAAATTTTCTATTCACTTTTTAAAATACAGTAACAGCACTTAGTAACCCAAGACAGAAATCCATCCTACCGTAATCTTCCATCCTGTGCAGCTGCACCTCCAGCTATAATTTTTGTAATGAAAATACTGGCATCATCCCCAATATGTGGGTTATCTGTACCACCTGCAATGCTAAAGCCAAGTCCTGAATTTCCCTAAAGATAGAAAAGGAAAAATATTTATTGGAGAAAAGGTATTCTGGTGTATTTGATACACTATAGAACTGAATCTACATCATTTTCACTGAAAACAAAAATATTTAAAGACAAATTAAGCAGTATGCTACATATATAACTTATTTATATGAAAATAAGTATAATTACAACTTACATACATGTAAGGAGAACATTAAGTCAGTGTATAGCTGTGACAGCTCCAGCCCCATAGCTTTCTCACTGAACTTGATAAATTACATAAAAATCTTTTAGCTCTAAAGTGCTAGATATTCCAGATAACTCATACAAATATTTGCTCCTCATTAAATTATTAGTGACACATTTTTCCCAGAAAAAAGCCTTTAAATAGCTTGTGCCCCACCTCTAATATAGTCCCACAGATGCAGAGATTCAGACTGACATTTTTCTCTTCGAGGATTACTTGCCCTTACCATCAACTGCAAGACCTCTTCACCCTCTCAGTAACCACCAGAACTGCACAGGTATAAAACCATTTCTTTCTGTCTTTTTCTGTCTTTTTGTTAACAGTGCACCTCAAGTGAACTGAGCTAGATCTCAACGTAGAAAACCTAACAAAGAAATGCATGTGACAAGATGTCACTTGTAATCTCAATATAAACTTAATAGTATGTAAATAAAAGCCTATGAGAAAAATAGCAATACAGGAGATTAAATCAGAATCTGTGTTGTTAGTCTCTACAAGCCTAGGTAGCAACATTAAATGCAGGATGACTTAGAAGAGACCATTCCCCCATTTTACTCTCAGTCGACACGGATATTAATAAAACTTTCAATTCCTTCTTAGCAACTGAATATACTTTTTTTAAAATAAGGGTAAATAATCTACCTAAAATAAAAAGAGTAAGAATTAGTTTGGATTGCCATTTTTCATATTAAAGTATCATAAATTCCATTTCAAACAGAATACAGAGGACATTTAGCATGTTACCCTTTCAAGAGTAATTTCTTCATACTCGTAATCTGCATCAGTGCCATTGACCTATTAAAAAAAAGAGAAATGAGACTCAAAGAGAATCCTACACTTTACACAAACCATTTTGCTTGGTTGGAACTTCACTCCCATCAAATCTCAGCTGACTCACAGTGACCACTGGGCTCAGAGGGGACATGTGATTTTCACACCACTCTGTATTTATGAATCAGACAATCTTTTTGTACAAGTTTAAAAGGTGCCTGTTCAGAGAGCAGACTGTTCCACACAACTACTGTAGGGCACAGGCCCTCTGCTTCTGACTGCCAGAAAGAAAAAATGCTCTGGAGATCCTCAGATGTTCCTCAGGCTATACAGCAACTTGAAACTGAGAATAAAGAAAGAGAATGTGGGATAGAGAAGAATTGTAAGGAAGAACAGAGCAGCATTTTCCACTTATTGTTCCACACTGAGCAGAGAAAAATCAAAGATGGATGCTTTATATCATCTTCTCATGAGAAATAGGCAAGATCCTTCTAAAGCAATATTTAACAACTGTTTATACTACTATTTATCAAGTCACATACATATTAAAGTTCAGCAATTTAAAATAGGGACAAAAAGAGTAAAAGAGTTTAGAAGAATACTTTATAAAGCTTGATGAAAAACTGAAATCCTAGAAAGAAGCCTTGTCATCCTCCAGTTAGAAAGGATACCCACATTCTTTGCTACCTACAGAATAAGGAAAGAACCAAATACCAGAAGCAAAAAAATATCAAAACTAACCAAAATCAATTAAATAACAAATTCTCAATCATATTTATATATTCAAGAGTAAGTTTTTTTCCAAGATATCTTGGAATTCAAATTCTTTCCTCCACAGTTACCTACAGCAGCTACAGATAATTCCATATTCCTAGCCTTTTAGGATGAAATATTAAACAAGGTACAATATAGCAGTTATACTATTACTTTACAAAGGACCTTGCCTACCCTTAAGATATAGAATATCTGGAAAGACTTCTCTAGTCTTAACACACTAAAGATAAAAAACATATATAGAAGCAAGCATTTTAAAACCTGACCATTTCCTAGTAGAGACTTTAAAAAGGGAATTTAATTCACCCCAAATAAAATTAAGATCAAGCTACTTCCTTCCTCCTATGTTTATTGAACATATTTAAATGCTCCAAAAGCTGGCACTGCCAAGACTTCTACAGGCTGTCTAATATTAAGCTCTTTTATCCCTCACTCCCTAATTATATTCCCCTGACAATAGAAGCCATATCCATTCCACACATAACAGATTATCATCTTTGCAAAGTACCTCAAAAATGATTATGTCCTTAGCAGTTTGTTCAGTGGAAAAGATACAGTGGTTTTAACACATGATATTTCTCTATTAAAAAGGGATGAGGTCCTGACCTTCTGAATCCATGAAACTGGATCTATTGCTACACCAACACAAAAGAAGCCACTGTGATCAAGAAGTTTTGATGGTAGCTTAGTCCTTGAGCTATTATCTACAGGAATGACAACATGTGCTAACTGAAGCAGTCATCCAGCATTACACTACCTGCAAAAGGGTCATGATGATTGATCAGTGTGCAGTGCTCTTTTCTTTTCTTTTTTATTAAATAAATAACAAGGATGATTAATCATTTCCCTATTCATTGCCATTACACAAAACAAAGCTGATCCTAATATATTTAAGCAGTCTCTTATTTCCATGTACAAAGGTCTTTAATACAATTTAAAATATCTTCTACATAAACAGGAGTAAACAAAAACCTCCATAATTTTATCTTCTCCTTTAGCTTAGTTCTATACTCTCTCTTTTTTTGAAAAATTACCGTTGAATTTATTCATCTAACAAACCAAACATTAGCAGAGACAGAAGCAAGAATATATCACATGATAAAAATCACTGACCCAGTCTATCTTTTCCAAGTTTTAAAGGGATCTCATACCCACTAAGCTAAGCTTTATTTCCAGGGCCTTCCCCTAGATAGAAGACTTTATAAGTAAATGTTGTAATTATGTCTGACAAATGAACAGCTCAGCCTCCACATAACTACACTTATTACCTTAATATTTCAAACAGAACCAACTCATTTTTATGAATATTTATAGCACTAAAACCTTAAGTATAGCCACTGTATGAAGAAATGTTTTTATGAGAAGTGCAACAGAAATGGCACATTAAATATTAAAGTATCTGCCTGCACAGTTGAAGAAACAGATTGTTCTCTGAACACTGAACCTCTGGGATCTCAGTTGTGTTTTGCACTGCCATACACTGGAACACAGAAAAATTCCCACCTGAAATCTGCAACATTTTTTTTCATGAAACAGCTATTTAAGGAGTTTAAATAACCATCATGAGAGCTGACAAAATCAAGCACCATCAGAGAGATAAAATAGGTCTTTTTAAACAGCAACAACAAGTGTACCCAACTACATTCATAAAACATGATTTAAAGTTAGAATTGAAAGCAAGTGTAGACTTACATATGTTGAAGTCTCCAAAGAATCTGTATTCACCAGCACTGGAGGGGGATTTGCCTTTAAAAATGAAACATAAAAAAAATGAACAGCATAAGAAAATGCACTATTGATAATTTTACAGAATTTAACTTGCTGGCTTTCTCAAAGTTCCATTAAAAGGCAGCCTGACCTTGAGAATCTCAAAACTGACCTTCTAAAACACTTGTTACTATCCTGGACAAATTGCTTCCCTGACATAAACCCACACCGTTAGGGAAGTCTGAGATCATATTTAATATCTACGTACTGACATTTATTACCTTGTTTTTCAAAAGAAAACCTGAGTCATGCTACCATTTGACATGATGCCAGTTGCCCCAGTACTTGTGGTATGATATGCAGAGGTTGTTTTACCACTCAGTATCTCAAAACCAATTTTCAGTGGATTCGATTTCCCTTTCTTCCCATCAGGAGCAGTGAACCACCCCCTTCAAAAACTGCTAAATGGAAACCTGCAGAAATGCAGCTTAGGCAAGAAAGGACGTACAGAAATGACTTGCAAAAGCAAACCCACAGCAGGCATTCATTTACCCCACAGCAGCACGGGCTTCCATCAGAAAATTGTTAAGGATTAACAAGCATAAGCAGCCAGAGATTATTGCCACAGAAAGCTGAAATAATATTAGCATTTTTACAAGCCAGGAACCATTAGAGTAAGTTTACAGTTTTGGTCTCATACACTGAGAATTTTTCTGTGAAAAATGTGGTTTCAACAAAAACAAAACCCATAGGATCTGATGGCCTTTTTCTGAAACGTTTCCAAATAAACAGATTTCCCAATTATCCATCAACTATCTGCCTTTAAAATAGGCAGCATCTAGCCTGCTCTAGGAACATCAGCCAAACAAACAAACAGTGTCCAGATAGATTCCAGACTCCAAATACTGTTAATTATTAAGTTCAGTGGCACTAAACAAAGTTAATCTCCTTACTGCTTTAATGAATCTGAGGGGTTTTTTAATATGTATAAAAATACATTATCTTTAAAATTATGACATTCCTTTTTTTAATCTCCTAGGTGCGTGTGTGTGTATGTGTAAATAAATTCAGGGATAGTTTAATAGGCTGCAAAAGAAGCCAGCATTAAACTCATGCAAAGGTAAAGTTAAGACCCTGCAAAAACATGACAATTGCATTAACCTATTCATATTCTGCATTTTTGTTTCATTACTATGACAGCAACATACTTCTGAAGAATTTATGACTTTTAAAAGCTCCTAAACCTAGGAAGTGATGACTCAGAAGTGCCTTTGAAAAGGCTGAGATGAATAATCTCCCATCATTAGACAGGAGCCATCAATCTGCTATCAAGTGTCACAAATTAAGCCTGTGTGATTTAATAAGTACTAGAATCAGGTGGGACCTACACACGTTAACAAAGCAGACAATTAAAAGTAAGAGGAAACAAAAAGGATGACACATATGACTGTCAATATGCAATCAAAAGCCTTTCTCACCCAGCAGTTCTCTCAATAGAAGCACTGGCACATTTCATGCAGTAAAGACATTAAGCACTAGTTATTAATGTCACAATAAAAATCTCTGTCAAAACAACACTATCCTTCACAACCATTTTTTGCCACTAAGTTAAATTTCCTTTTCTGCTTCTTATTCAAGTGCAGGTTCTATTAAAATAAGAGTAAATTAAAATTAAGATCCTGTACTAAAAATCCTAACCTATTATTCATCACTATAATTCATTGTTAAGGTTACAAGAAATACAACCATATATTTTAATAAAAACATATGTTTTTATGGTTTTACTCAGAAGAAAGCAAGGTTGAACTGCTCACTCATGTTCTTTTCACTCCATTTTGGAATGTGTTTTTATTTAATATTAGGATTCTGTAACATCCAATTATATTCAACGTATACAGCACCAGTGAAAACTGGTTCCCCATGATTTTTATTTTTGAGACAGACAAGTGTTCTTATTTTCATGTTCAAAAAAAAAAAGACAACTAAAAGCAAAGTTGCTGTTAGTAGGTGAGCTTTGGTAAACAGTATGTTTGATATACAAATCAGCTAACCAATGTAAAAGCCCTTCTGTAAGTTAAGTTATTGCTCCTAACACTCCTATATTTATCAAGCAGCAGCCATTTACCAAATTTACCATCTTTTTCAATGATGAATGAAAAAAGCTTTGCCAGGCTTTGCCACCTCAAATCTTGATGTGGGCAGAATCCCCCTATTAGAAGGGAGTATTTCTAAAACTAATCAAATTTCTGGTCTTCCTGGTGGAAGAAGTACAGGTGAGAGATTCAAATAAACACACATCTACTGGAAATTGCACTATAAAACAGGCAACTGCAAGAAGTTTTGCTAATTATGGGTTATGCAAAAAAAATAAAAACTCAGCAAAGACAAAGATTACCACCTGTTGCAAGGTTAGTCAAGTAGCCTGAAAGTAAAAAATTAAGAAAAAAAATACTGACTTCCATACTACAAAAATTTTCAAGTAATATTCTGGATAGCTTAATTTCCTTTTAAAGTTAATAAACATCTGTCATCAAACAATCCCAAAAGTTAATCCATCTTTTCAGATGGGGTGGACTCATCATTTCAGATTTCTGCACTGAAAGTTACAGTAAAGTTACAAAAAAACCAGAATGTCAATCTATTCGCAGAAATGTAACTGCTGGCTAACTGGGTTGTTGCATGGCTTGCCATGCTGTGGTCACATATTCCAAATTACATGGGAAATACCAACATTAACGCATGTTACTGCCCTCACTTTTCTTGGGTTTGGTTTCTGTTTTGGGGGCTGTTTGGACATTATGGGACCTAAAAGACGAAGGTTCAGAAGGGAAACATTTTACAAGTCAAATTTGTTAGGAATGGCAAGGTAAAATATCTCTTTTGTATTCTAAATGTCCCCCAAAACAGTAATACCAATAAATGGGTGCAGAACATGAGAAACACCATGCAAGAGCAACCAAAGAAAGACATGTATGAAGTATTCAGAGGAGATGAGAAAACATTTTCTTTAGAAACAAATCAAGCAATAATGCTTTAGTACAGATGCAATGGCCCTGAAATTACTATATGAACACAAAATATCCCACTGGTCCTTTCCATTCTTGTGGTTATTTTTTCTTTAGTTTTATCACAACTTACTAGTCACTTCTATATGAAAATATAAATATTTTAATGTACTAAAAGCTGTCATAAAATGAACAAAAGTTAGGGCAAAATTATAGGTATTTAACAGTTCACCTCAAAACTGAGTGCGGAGTAGCAAAAGGCGTATTTCAGCAAAGCAACAAAACAAATTAAAAAATAAAAGTTGAACAAGTTTTATAAAACAAAACAAAACAGAATAAAAACCTGTGGTATGGTGGATGGGATGGTCTCAGCAGGGACTGGTGGGACAGGGATCACAGGGACAATGGGAGAAGAGGAAGGAACAGCTTCTGTGGGCTAAAAATCACCAACAAAATGTCAAAAATAAGGAAAACTAGAAAAACAGTTTCAAACAAACAAGACTCAAATGTAACAGCATAAACAACTATGAACTAGAACATGGATTTGGAGCCTAACTGCAATGCAGAACAGCCCCTGTGAACCACACTGCCCATGGCACACATGCCCAGCACTGCACCGATGGTGAGGAACCAGAGTAGCTGGACATGCCCAGGTGGGTTATATCACACACCAAGGCACTCTCCCTGCAGCACTGAGACTTTGGGTCCAACAAAGAACCTGCTCGGGTCAATGAACAGACAGACTCAGGCTTTTTGTGGGCTGGTTTCACAACAGAATCCCTTCACCAATATACAACAGAGTGCAAAAGCAGGGAAATGGGCTGAAGTTAATAGCACTCAACAAAGCTAATATTCCTCTTTGATAAAGAGGAAAAATCAGAAGGACTTTATGGTTTCTAAACTTAGCAAAAATCAAAGAAAAACTTTTAGTCAAATGGGTGGAAGGTGCTAAAACACTTCAATTTATCTCTCACAAATCTTCACAGATGTTTACCAAACATCTGCAGACTAGGACAATTTTGGTCTTAAGAATCTTCATTAAAATAATAACCAGGGAACCTAGTGACAATTAAGCTGCAAAGGAGTAAGATTCCAAACAGCATTTTGAGCAAAACATTGACTCAAATGTCTTTGAGATGTTCACATACTGGTTGTCAACAAGCTGTCAGCAACACAAACTGCTGGCAACTATCATCAACATTACAAGCTGAACAGCAGATCAAAGCTCTTGCAATTTAGATGTTCCAAGACATTCTTGTGATCATTAAAAATAATGAAGCATAATGACAAAAGAAAACACTAAATCCCAAAAGTGAACAAAAACCCCAGAACATAAGAGTATTAAACATTTTAAAAGTTTGAGATACCTTAAAATACAAAGCAGCATACATCAACAGCAGCCACCAAATTAAACAGTAATGGCAAATAATGCTATTTGCATTAAGAGTCCAAGAACAGCAACACATATTAAATGTACATATGGTATTTCTACAGGGTTTTTTCAGCTCAAAGTCAATCCTTCCAAAATGAAAGCTGCTGAAAAACATTGCAATTACTGAAAGATGTAAGAACAAAATATGTTTGGTATCTTGAGAGTTAATCCTAATGTCATTAAAGCATTCTTACATCTAAAGACTAAAGGACAATATTTCAAGTGCTTAAAAAGAAGAGGGTAGGGAAGAATCTAAATTGGTCTGGAAAAATATTAATATGCCTTTTGCAAAGGATGCAGGAAATGCTCAGTGCAATAAACCTGTGGCTCCTTAAAGAACAACCCAGGCTTCAGATGAAAATCAAAGTAAACAGCTCAAACACCAATTTGGCCCTACTCATACAAAATATGAGATACCCCTTTAAGTCTGCCTTGTTCCAAAGTAAGTAGTTTTTTGTGTTTAACCCACAGCAAGTCCTTCAGTGAGGAAATACCAACTAATATGTAGGTATATCACAGCACCATACACATCCTCAAGGAGACCAACTAAGCCAACAAATTCTGTAAAATTCAGCAAATTCTGTTCTTAGGAAACAACAAAAAGATACACTTTGGAGAGCAAAAATCAAGTCAACTAAACTTTCAAGAAATTACTGTAAACCCCCTTATTGTATAAAGTACAGCAACCTTCACTAGAAAACACGAGAACAAGTATTCCTTTGCCAATCTGATTTCAATAATTACTACTTTGATTTCCAGCAATAAAATATAAAAGAAAAGTTGGTAAGAAAGTCATTAGAAACAGCAGGGCTAAAACTACTGAAAGAAAAGAATGCAACATACTTCCAACAGTTTGCACAAAAACGCACATCTCCAAACACACATTGCAACACCTACCTTCCCTACAGAGCAATTGGAGCAGGAGCCATCAGACACCCAACCACTAGCAGCTTTTACTTTTGCTGTGCTTTTTGTAGGGCTCTTTTTTACACTGTCCCGCAGGTTTGTGAATTTCCCTCTGTGTTTGGCGGCCGCTGGCAGCGTGCAGGAGCTGAAAGGTGCGCGAGCGGTGGGTGCCCGCGGCGGGTGCCGCAGCAGCTGCCTCGGCTGCAGAGGAGCAGCTTCGTGTATCTCCAGTCTCGGGCTCCTCATTGCATCAGAGCGCTTGAGCGTTCCCATCTCAACACCATGAGCACTCATCAAAGTCACAACACTGAGAATCCTTTTTGATTAAAAAAAAAACAACCAAAAAAACCCCAAAAAACCAACCCAAATGGAAAAAAAAAACAAACCACCAAATACCCAACCAAAAACACCCAGCCAAACTATGGAGGGAAAATAAATGAAAATATTTCTGCCTGAGGAAGTTAAAAATATGTTTTCTGGATTATGGTCGTAGGAAGAAGCCCTACATGCTCTGCATTAGCTAGGTCTGCATGTTGTGTGCTCTCTCACTCTATTTAAAGAGCACCATTGAACCACCACACACCAGCCAATTTGCTGGCCACAAATAATCAATGCAATGCACAAATTATTGAATAGAGGGCAAAAGTCATCTGACTATTACAAAGAAGCTCCAAAGGTTATTTCTCCCAAAACCTTCTACAATCCCTTAATTTTTTCTCCATTTTACCACCTCAAAACTTTTCCAAGGCTTACATCCACAAATTTTTCACTCTTTCTGCTGTTCTGAATGCTTCTTGGGGCAGAAAATCAATGAATTTACAAGCAGTTGATGATGGAAAGTATATGAATTGTGAGTGGGCAGATACATTGTTCAAGATTTCAACATTAAAATGTCAAAGAAAATAAATTTTTTATACCATAATAATAACAAAAATTACTTTGTGTTAACAACTTCAAGAGTTGTATTTCTTTGAAATGCAGCAGCACCACGAAGCCACAACTTTCAGGCACACACTGTTTAAATTTTTTTTTTAAATTTAAGATATTTAAATGAACATTTAAATGAATATTTAAATCAGGTTTTTACTATTCATTCAATTTTTAATGCTAAGGATGCATGATCTCTATACTACATTTTTATTCTAATATTCAAAATAAAAAAAGGTCCAAAATTAATCCTTCCCCCATTCCCCCCAAAAAGAGAAAACAGCTTGATTTAATCACGTTGTTGAATATTTAACTTTACCAGCCTATTTTAAATTTTATAAAAGGGGAAGGGTCAAAGGTCATTCCCAAGCATCTATATGAAAATTGACAGCTAAATACATCTATATTCCCAGCCTTACACAGGAAAGAAGTGGGGTCAAATCAATGGCCACCGTGCTCTCAGCAGGTACCCACAGCCAGCACTGGCACAGCGTGCAGCACCTGCTCTTGCCCAGTGGGTCTGTTCTAGGAACATGCTGTGGATCTGAATTTCTGGTGCTGGGTATGATGAGAATGAAGGATACCAGCCCATAGGAAACAACTTGATTAGGTCAGCTGTACTGTGTTTAGCTAACATGGAGAGGTTTCATCAGTTGACAGCATTAGAACATGGTTATTCTCCATCTCACATTACACCTTCCTACAGCAATTGTGACTATTTAAATTATGAGTCAGCAGAATTTTTACATGCAGAATAAAGGAAGAGACATACAGACCTAAGTAAAAACATTTCCAGTTATTTATAGCATGAATATTAAGAGATAAATAGGTACTGACAGATGCTCCTCTAATCACCAAGAGCTGCCATGTCTCCTCTTCTATCCAGAGGGGATGCAATCAAGAGCTGCCAAACGTTTCATTACTGCAATATTCATAACGCAGAGACAGAAATGTTCCTGGCCAGTGACAGGAAACCAGAAATGTCTTGGCCATACCAACATTCTCAGACTTGTGCAGGCACACAGCAGGAATGTCTTTGGCCTGTGAAGCATTCAGGAGCTGGAGGACTGGGTCTCCCTAATACATGTGAGCTCAGGTGCACCCAGCTTGTTCTGTTCCAGAAAGCCTGGGAGCCTGTGGGGTTTGATACTGAAGGGCAAAGGCAGAGATGAAGATAAGCATGTTGTGAATGTGCATGAGGGTAAATAGTTCAAAACCAGCAAATAATAAGTTTTTCTCCTTTGAGAAATGTCCACAGATGCATTAATACTGAGCAGCTCTGAGGCACACTCATCAGCCTGCAGGGATTACTGGGATGGACCTGTCCTGTGTTGAAGGCCCTGTATCAGAATCCTCTTTGGCAAGAGCTTGCTAAATGGCAGATTTTGGAGACCACAAACATTTATTTTCCAGAGACATTCAAGAATGCTTGAGGTTTAGCAAGATGCATTTCTACCATGCATTTTACTTCCATATCAATACCCAGCATGACATTGCCTAATTACTATTAGACAATATTCATGTCTATTACATTAAAATGCATTAAAGAAGGAGAAGAGAGGCTTGGGGTATAAGGCTTTTGTCTTGCATACATAATAAATCCCAAAATATGCGATGTTCCAGATTCAAAAGGAATGTTTTATTCCTGGAGACATCAACTTTGTTGAAAACACATAGACCAAGTAGTGTGTTGACTAAAACAAAAATAAATTAGCTTTTAAGAGTGCTAAGAAAATTGAGGGCAAGGGGAAGAGATGCTGAATATCACATTCTTGTAAACTCAGCTGTCTGGCTTCCTACATTCTCCTCCAAGCAGGAAAGGGGAAGACAATACAAAAGATGAGGCAAAGGAATTCACATATCTGCTGTGTGCTTTCAGTCCTTTTGATTTCAGTGGCAAAAGAAGGAACAATATGCAGCAGAAAACTGCTAAGAGCATGATTTTTTTTCTGGCAGTCATCATGCCTTTAGCCCCTGAGGTGATATCAGTAAGATATCAACAATTAAAAGAAAACAAAACCTTGAAGGCAATTGTAGTTCCGAAAGCAACAGCCCAAGCACCAAAACACAGTCAAGGAACAAGAGGTACAGGCAAAATACCTCATCCATGCTGCACAGTGTGCCTTGAGACTCTTCAGTAAAAAAACCCAGGCTGCATTGAAATTTCAGTG